GTTTTGAAAAAGGACAGAAATATGCCAAAAAAAGTATGATATGCACTTTATTCTACACTGTAAAAAACATATTGATGGTTTAACTTAAAAAAGTAAGTAACCTGGTTGCCTTAAAATTTTGAGTTCATTGAACTGGAAAAAGTGAGTTAATACAATGAAGGAGGTTCATTTAACCATCAGAAACTCAAAATTATATGTTATCTGAACTAAATAAATTATTTAAGTTGATTTGACAAAAGAAAAAATGTTGTGATTACTACACTGTAAAAAGTATTGTTGGTTTAACTTAAAAAAGTAAGTAACCTGGGTTGCCTTAAAATTTTGAGTTGATTGAACTGGAAAAAGTGAGTTAATACAATGAAGGAGATTAATTTAACCATCAGAAACTCAAAATAATAAGTTATCTCAACTAAATAAATGATTATAAAGTTGATTTGACAAAGGAAAATATGTTGTGATAACAAATCTTGAAAATATTTTTTACTTCTGAAATGAAACGAGTCGCCAGCAATTCCAGTAACAGATTTGCATAATGCCAGCCTGTGGTCTTCATTGGACGACCACAAACAGAGCGTCCTCAAACACTAGTTGTAGCTGAAACAGGAAAAATGTATAGTTACTGTTCGTATCACGATTTATCAAGTGCTGAGGAAGAGCTGAAATTCAGATATGGTAATAGGGGTTTTGTTTTTGATACACGCTGTAAGCGGTCGACCAATCACAACAGACTGGGCCGACCAAGGCTCTCAGTAAGGAGGGGTTTGGAGAGACCGAATCTTCAAACAAACCGGTTTCAGACTCTATGAGAAATGAAGTGATGTGGACTGTATATTATTTGAAAATTAATTTTTTTCTTTCTTACCTTAGATGACTCTAAAAAAAAAATTGGGAACCTTTAAAATAGAATAATTGGGGCACTTTAAAATTGAGTAAGATGCAATGAAACTACTGGATGAGAACAGTACTTAATTGAGCGGAATAATGACATTTGTATTGTGTAGAGCTGCTTATAGCTGAATTAAAGGGATAGTTCATTTTGTCATTAATTACTCACCATCAAGGTCTTTTTAATAAAATTTGAGTTTTCTGTCGTTCCATTGACAGCTACTCAACTATCACTTTAAACCCCAGAGGTATAATATAAAGAAGACATCATTAAAGTAACTCATTTGGCACGTATATAAATAAAAGTGACTTGGATTAGGATCTGGGCCGCAAACACAGAGGTGCTGCATTCACCCAGAAACTGAGTTCCTGAGAAAACCGCAATACTCCGTCATGACTGAGACCTGGAGTTAAGTATTAACTAGTTTGCTCCATAATTATATTCTCTGACGGCAATTAGTGTACTGGAAGTCATTCTGGCTGAGACATCTGCCAAAAGCCTGAGAAGCAGAACAATCTGGAGGAAGAAGTAAACTCTCTCTCACACACACACACCCATGGTCAGACAGTCGGTGTGTGTCATTGTGACTGCTACAGGGAAACCTATTAAACAAACAGCAATTAAGCTTCAATGATGCCAAACAAATCCATTTGAGAGAGGGGAGTATTATGAAGCAAGGTCAAATGAAATACTCCCTCATAACTGTAATAATTATTATTACTGTTGGCAGGGTATAAAGATAACACAACATCATCATCACTGAGAGTCAGGGTACAGTGGCGTACGATTAAATAATAAAAACATGCAAATCTCAACATGTAATATAATGACATTATGCTGAGCACTGAGCAGGGAAACACGTGTTATTTTATTATTATTTACACACTATTATCACATTTTTTACATTTTGCTTTTATTATTATATTTTTAGATTTAAGTTTTAGTAATTTTATGTGCTTTTGTCATTCTTTTAGTTTTATTTTTTTTTTTTCGGTCATTTTTGTTTTTTATTAATTTTTATTAATTTTATTTCTTATTTTTATTTTTATTTGCCCAGGCTAACATTTTTGAGTTTAAGTTTTTTTTTTTTTTACTAACATTTATATTTTATTTCAGCTTTATTCAATAAACAAAAACATATTCTTAATAGTTTAGGTTAATAATAATAACACTGAAACAAATGTTGTGTTCACCTGTGTTCAATGTTTTTAAAATCAAACGCAGCTAATGGCTTGAAAACTGTCTGTGCCACAGAAAATGTTACAGTAACTTATCTTCTGTTTATATGCCATGTCAATCATATATTTGGCCAATTTTCCACGTTTTTGAAAGCATGATTTCGATTTTTTAAAATAATATGGAGCCATTATTTATAATTAATTAGCTATTTATGTTGCAATAATAATGGTTTACATTGAATCTTTGTCTCTTGGGATCATGTAGCATTTAGACAGATGAACAGATAGACAGATAGATAGATAGATAGATAGATAGATAGATAGATAGATAGATAGATAGATAGATAGATAGATAGATAGATAGATAGATAGATAGATAGATAGATAGATAGATAGATAGATAGATAGATAGATAGATAGATAGATAGATGATAGATAGATAGATAGATCAATGCTGATTCAGACTATAAATTATGACTCATCATGGCTTGTGTTATTTTTACCTGTTATAAATCTTATATGGGGGTTTTCATGTCCATTTGCCAAAGAGCTCTTTGGACTTTTGTTATTGGACGTGCTTTTCCTGCATACGCTAATTACTTAACTGGATCAATTATTAATTTGCCAAATGGAATGTTATGGGTTTGGTGCTAAAAGGTGCAGTGTGGTGTTTTCCTGTGTTAAAGTGTCAAGGTTAAATAAAGACACTCTATTAGATGAGATACAAAAATCATTCAACGCATCATGATTCATGACAGATAAACACCGTAGACTCTAAGAATAGGGAGAATAGGGAGACGACTTAATGAGAGAGTCAACAGAGATTATCCTGAGCAAACAAATCACAGCGTGTAGCTGAGAAAGTACAGCTTGCTATACCGAGTGTGCTACTTCAGTCTGTCAGGTTTAATAATCAGTGTCATGAAGAGGAAACCTACACCTCTTCCTCCCATAGAAACACACACTCCAGCACTCGACAGAACAGGAGTCTGCCATGTGAAGTGTTGCAAACACATCAGACAGTAGAAAAACACCTGATATGTATTGCTTAATGAGACACAAACACATCACATTTATGTGTTTTATCACAATAACCATGACTCCAAACTCATGGACTTACTGTACAGGATGCTTTTAGTAGGATGGTGATATCAAAATCATGACCGACTGTCACCTATCCTATCCAAAACTTTAAAACTTTTTTAAAATTTATTATTATATCTTTTTTTTTTTTACAAATCAACAGTTCACATCGTCTAATCCATCCTGTTGATTCTGTATTGCTTATGCCATTCATATCCATGCAGTGTATCTATCAATACAATCAGTTTAAAGTCTGAGAATAGTGAAATATGCTTCTATTTTGCATTATGTCAAATGTTAAATTTTCACATTACAAATGAACAGAGTTAAAGTAGGAGAACACATGATTGGTTGGCTTACATCTGATTAGTCACCTACAAATAACTAGAATGTTGATTTACAAATTATGGATGAAAATACTAGAAGAGATATTTCCAAGCATTTGCTGTGTGATTGTGTAAATTTGATGTTGGTTGTTAAATGGGCCAACACTGCATTCTGCTGACGTAACGGGACAACTACATCATACTGTTATCATATGATAATATCTTTCTAGTCCATGTCCATCATATCACTTTCAAACTAATATGCAGCCTTCTCTAATATTTTACATCAAATAAATAAATACATACGCAGAAGTCAGAATCCCCTCATGTCAAACTTCTCAAAATAAACGTTCAACTCTTCATATTTTTGATTCAATGTATAATAAGGAATTTCATTTGTATCATAGGATTGCATTGATTTTGTACATAAAGTTATACATTATTTGTATTAATAATTATTATACACGATTATTCCTTCTTGGAGATAAATCAATGATACCCAACATAGAAAAAAATAAATTTACCCTTATTAAGAGTGGCTGTATTACAGCTGTCAGGATGATCTTGCGAAATTGGAAATGCCTCAAAACCCCAGACCTTAAAGACTGGGTTGATGGGATGATTGAAATTGCTTCATATGAGAGCATGTTGGGGAGACTGCATAATGAGGGAGAAATTAAAGAAACATGGGACCATTTTTGGCAGCATATAAAAATGGTGTAAATAGGACTGCTCAATAATTTTACTCAGTTTAATTTTCATGTGCTTTTGTTTTGGTTGTATGATGGGGACTAGTGGCGGAGTGTGTAATTGCAAAGGTGATTACTGAATAATGTGATGTACTCTGATGTTTTGACTGTTGAACAATAAAAAAGTTGAATTACAAAAAAAAAAAAAATTATTCTACAATTTGGGCCTAAATGTAATCTTTACATCATAACAGATGTGATAGTACAAATAAATAGAAATAAAATTACAAACTCTATTTTTTTTTTTGGGGGGGGGGGGGGGGGTTGGTTTGTACATAAAATGTATGTGTGTATATATATATATATATATATATATATATATATATATATATATATATATATTTATTATTTTGGCAGCTTTGTCATTCCATACATAAGAACGTATCACTAGTAAACACGTGACGCTACTCTGTGTTTTCCCCATTATGTTACATTTATATTTATCATATGTGTAACTTATGTTTATGTCCTTTTAGTGCTGGCTCACAAAGAACGCGTTGACAGCCAATCACGTAGTTTAAAGAGAAAAACAACGGGAAAGCAGCGCATGAGCATCTAGAACCTGATTCTAATGGAACGCATTATAGACCATTTCACAAGATGTAAACAACACTGGTCCAGAAACACTTTCTGTTTCAGTTTGAAACTGTTTTCTTTATTTCACATGTAAAGAAAACATCTTAAAGATGTTTGTTTAACTTTTTGATTCAGTTTTAAATGTTCTGTTGATTTTATCCCAGCTTTTATGTAGTGTTAAAAAACTGAAACAGGAAGTGCTTCTGGACCTGTGTTGTTTACATCTTGTAAATAAACGCATGCGTCATATCAGCCACGTGGGCTGTGTAAAAGGATACACAGTGGTTCCTATTGGTCCAAATTCTCGCGACGTCACGTGACGTGCTCCTCCTCTTCCCTTTCCGTGCGCGAGCAGCGGCATTTTCCCGCGAACTCTCAGCTCCATAAATACCTCAGCAGAGCAGAGCAGCGCTGGGTCTGTTGGAATGGAATATAGATTAATTATTTTTTTAGAATAATTTCACAACATATTGCACAACACCCCTTTGGGAGACATGGCAAAGCAAATTTCCCTCTTTAATTTCTTCACAAAGTCGCCTCCACCCGCGCCGAAGGCCAAATCCAACCCTTCTCCGGTGGAGGCAGATGCAGTGAGGAGATCCAACACCTCACCTAAAGAACAAGCCAACATCAACGGCAAGAAAACACCAGCAAAACCGGCCAAATCTCAAGTTAAAGCTGGACACGCGAAACTGTTCGGGGAGAAAGCAAACACTGCAAAGGAGAGGTAACTTACACTAACTGCAACTAACGTTATATGTGCAATAATGCCATGCAAAGGTATTGTACTGGTTACCATGGTGACACCATGTCGTGGTACTACTCTTATAATGGTAAAATCATGGTACATTAATATACAATAACACTCTAATTATGTTTACGAAAAGTATCAGTTATTTGCACATGTAACGTTACCATGGTTTTATAGTTTGCCCTGGTGCTGCTACAGTAACGTAACTGTTTTGTCATGTGCCGTATTTACATTTTATAAGGATTAGTTTGGTTACTGTAAAGTGAGTAGTTTATCATACACACTTTAGTGACTGTGGTGTCATATTGAAAACTTACCTGAGGATTATGCTTTATATGAGTCCACCACACGGGATACTTTTGCCTGTGGAGTGTGTTTGAGACTTCTTTTTTTTTTTTTTTTGGCGGGAGACTGTGTGGAAGGCAACTTTTTTTTCCTCGTCTGTCCAATAGGAGCGTCCGTTAAAAATTCTCCTCAGAAAAAATTACTAGAATTATCTAAGTTAGTAATTACTAAAATTACTATCTGTACTCATTTATTATAATAAATAATAATATTTTTATCGCTATATAATAAAATCCGTTACTACAGTTAGCGCTAACGTTAGTCTAAAATAATAATACATTTTAGATCAATGTATACAATAGATTATTTAATATGAGGCAAAAAAGAGGGTATATTCCTTAAAGCATGTTGTTTGTTAATTTTAATAACAGTGGTGGTGGATAATACCAAGTTAATTTCATTTAGTTGTACAAAAACTGTAGTAGCCTATTGGAGCATAAACTGTTATTAATTGCTTTGTTTTATAAATAAAAGCATGTTGATTGTTCTGCATTTACTCTATGATTTACTCTCCTGTCTATCACTGCGAATGTACTTCAACTAAAATTATTGTAAACAACATTTTACAATACTTATTACTCCAGTACTTAATATTGTACATAGTTTCATGAGTTCCTATAACTGAACTACATTAAATATATATAAACTATTGTGTATGTTAAACTATTGAAATACTTAACATTGCCATCAAAAAGTATTAAAGTATTTGGACCCTTCAGTCAATATAGGAGCGACTTTCATGATTTTATTTTATTTTTACATCTATTCAAATGAAGGATTTTACAAAATATATTTATTTTATATGCTGGAATATGTAGAAATTTATATTAACAGAAGAAGGGCTGTCTTTTTCATTAAAATGGTGGAATGTGCAGAAAATATCTAAATGTTAAATGTTCAACAATTTTCTTCTAGTCTGAGACTGTTGCATTTAATTTAATTTTTGCTTGATGCAATGTGCATAAAGTTAAAATATTGAAACAAATAAAACAAGTTTAAAAAAAGAGAATGTTTAATTTGATTACATTTTAGATGATGGAATATGCAGAAAGAATAGAATTAGGCTGAAAGGTCTATGCTTTAGCGTATTCAGGTCGTGCATTATGTTTTTGAAAAGTAACTTAGTAAAGTAACTAGTAAAGTAACTAATTACTTTTGAAAATAAGTAATCAGTAAAGTAATTGGATTAATTTCTTGGAGAAGTAATCAGTAACTAATTACTATTTCCAAGTAACTTGACCAACACTGTATACAAGTACTTCATTTTCACCTTATGTACACTTTAAGCGAATCTGTGATTTTGCACTTACTTTGTTTGAATGCATCACAAAGATCATTGTTTCTCTGCAGAAAACAGTCATGCATGTTTAGTGCTGGCACACTGGTATGGGCCAAGATGGAAGGACATCCCTGGTGGCCCTGTATGGTTGTTCCTCAACCTCTCAGCGGACAGCAGATGAGGGGCCGTGGCCGAGACCAAAGGCTTCACGTTCACTTTTTCGATGAACCACCAACCCGAGGCTGGGTTAACACTAAATACATAAGAGAGTACCAAGGTGAGAGCAAGGCTTGGTTACACTTATCAAATCAAATATTATTCAAATGTGTGTAATACTTTACTCTGACCTTACATAATTTCTTGTTATTATTTTAAGGCTCTAATAGCGCAGATGCCAAATCGGGAGGCGTGTTCTTCAGCGGTAAGCCTGTGATACGTAAAGCAATGGAGCTGGCAGATGCTGCAATGAAGCAGAATCCTGAGCAGAGACTGAAGATTCCCGTGTGCATGGATCCCTCCGATGAAGAGGATGATGTTGAGGATATGGAGGTGAGCAAACACTAAATCAAAGAAGGTTAATATTAACATAAAAGATGCATTTAGTTTTAATGGGATATTTCAGCCAAAAATGTAATTTCTCTCATAATTTACTTGTCTTAAGTCCTTCCAAATCTGTATGACTTTCTTTTTTCCGCGATTTTGAAGAACGTTACCATGCAGCATAAAGTGTCTACAAGTCGAGTCATCATAAAAGTAGTTCATACGACTATATTCCTAACTCTTCTGAAGTCATTCAATCACTTTGAGTGGAATTAAAGTCATTATTTACTGAAAATATGTAAGCGTGCAAAAAGACTGGTCTCTAATAATTTCATCATCTGAAAAAAAAGCTTTAAATGCACCAATAATTTGCCCCAGGATTTGTCCGCTGATGGTTCGATTTTGGTTCATTCACATTCCCAGTGATTTTCCAGAATCGTTCGCGCGCGTTCACACATCTCGTAAAGACACGTGACATCGATTTGCCGGGTAATGTCTCCAGAGCGTCGTAAGTTTGCTCATGATCTGCGAGAAACCACGCTTTTTTTTCTTTTTTTTTCCTGATTCGATCATAAACTAGCGTAAAGCATAGCATAAAACTTAAGCTGGTGTACAAATGTGTACTATATTTACATTTTACATTTCTTCATTTAGCTAACGCTTTTATCCAAAGCGACTTGCAATTCGCACGACTCTGGAGCAACTAGGGGTTAAGTGTCTTGCTCAGGGACACATTGGTGTCTCACAGTGGATTCGAACCTGGCTCTCCCACACCAAAGGCATGTGTCTTATCCACTGCGCCATCACCACCCCCTAGGGACGCGTTTGTGTTCACACAGAAGGCATTCTGGCAATTTTATGACAATTTTCGGGGATCAACTAGCTGTGAAAGGGGCTTAAAAAGTTTTCATCCAGTTTTGCAACCATCTTAATTTCATGTAATATTTTATTATAGGTTGAGAAATCAACTCTAACAGATGAGGAAACGACTGAGGAAGAGGCTGAAGAAAAGGTGAAACCCAGCCGGCGTTCATCTCGTGCCGCGGCTGAAAACGGTCAGAAGTCGAAGCGTCGGCGCATCGTGGTGGCATCTGACAGCGATGACTCCGGTGAAGAGTTCAATCCCGAGCAAGCAACAGTAAGCAGTGACGAGGAGGTAGTGAGTAGCGGGGCTGAGGAAGAAGAAAGCAAGCAGGAGCCCGAACCAGAACCAGAAAGCCCGGTGAAACCGGTCAAGCGCAAACGTCCTTTAGAGAAGCCCGTTAAATCACAGACCCCAAAACGAGCGCCTGCAACTTCACCATCCGTGACGTCCAACACCAAATCTCGGCTCTCTGCTTTCTCTGCCCCAGACAACTTCGAAAGTCAGAGTACCAGTGCAAACGGTACAGAGGGAGGATCTACTGTGTGGGACCATGAGAAACTCGACTGGTTGATGGACGGCAAGAGAAAGGATGCGCAGCGTAAACGACAATCTGATAAAAACTACGACCCCACGACTCTATATGTTCCCGATGATTTCCTGAACAGGACAACGCCTGGAATGCGCCGCTGGTGGCAGCTGAAGTCTGAGATGTTCGATACCGTTTTGTTCTACAAAGTCGGAAAGTTCTACGAGCTCTACCATATGGACGCGGTGATTGGCGTCAACGAACTCGGCCTTACCTTCATGAAGGGCACTTGGGCCCATTCAGGCTTCCCCGAGATTGGCTTCGGGCGCTTCTCAGACGTCCTCGTGCAAAAGGGCTACAAAGTGGCTCGTGTGGAACAGACCGAGACCCCTGATATGATGGAGGCACGATGCAAGAAAATGTCGCGTCCCACCAAATTCGACCGCGTCGTCAACCGAGAGGTTTGCCGAATCATCACGCGAGGGACTCAGACGTACAGCGTGCTTGACGGCGCCCCTTCTGAAACTCAAAGTAAATACCTGTTGAGCATTAAAGAGAAGAGCGAGGAGGACAGTGCAGGCCATTGCCACATCTACGGGGTTTGTTTCATTGACACGTCGGTGGGGCGCTTCCATATCGGCCAATTCCGGGATGACCGCCATTGTTCCCGTTTGCGTACTCTGGTTGCGCACTATTCTCCCGCCCAGGTTGTTTTCGAGAAGGGCAATCCTTCAACCGAGACATTGAAAATCTTTAAGGCCATCTTGGCCTCCACTTTACTCGAAGGCCTCAATGCTGGTTCGCAGTTTTGGGATGCCCAGAAGACCTTAAAGGTCCTTGCTGAGGAAGACTACTTTAAAGAGAGCAATGATGAAAAGGCGGCATCAGTGCTTCCTCCAACTCTCAAAGCCATGACGTCCGAATGTGACGCTCTAAGTCTCACTCCAAAGACGGGTTATGAACTCGCTCTTTCCGCCCTTGGCGGCTGCATGTTTTACCTCAAGAAATGTCTAGTGGACCAGGAGCTTTTTTCCATGGGCAACTTTGAGGAGTATGTTCCTGTCGATGTGGAGATGGAGCAGGCTGGGGGAGCGTCTTGTTTTTTTGCCCAGACCCATCAAAAAATGGTTTTGGATGGAGTGACCCTTGCTAACCTTGAGATCTTTCAGAATGGCTCGACCGGCGGTCCTGAGGGAACCCTACTTGAGCGATTGGACACGTGTTGCACTCCCTTCGGCAAGAGGTTGTTGAAGCAATGGCTCTGCGCCCCTCTTTGTAATCCATCCTCCATTGGGGATCGTTTAGATGCTCTGGAGGACCTGATGGGCGCTCCATCTCAAGTGACCGAAGTCACCGACCTGCTAAAGAAGCTTCCGGATCTCGAAAGGCTACTTAGCAAGATCCACAGCATGGGTACTCCTCTTAAAGGACAAGACCACCCGGACTCCCGAGCCGTCCTGTACGAGGAGGTCACCTACAGCAAACGTAAGATCGCAGACTTTCTCGCTGCACTCGAGGGTTTTAAAGTTATGAAAGAAATCGTGTCGATCATGAAGCCCGTCGCCGAAGGCTTCCGCTCGAAACTATTGCGCCGAGTGTTGCTCCTCAAGACGGAAAATGAAGACGGGCTCTTCCCCAAACTTTCGCCAGAGCTCAAACGTTGGGACAAAGCTTTCGACCATCAGAAAGCTCGAACCACAGGTGTCATAACTCCAAAAGCTGGCTTTGATCCGGAGTACGACCAAGCCCTAGGTGGAGTTAAAGATTGTGAGAAAGACCTGCAGGAATACCTGGACCGACAGAAGAAGAGATTGGGCTGTAAGAACCTATCCTACTGGGGAACGGGAAGGAACCGCTACCAGCTGGAAGTCCCCGACAGTGTTTCCGAGAGGAGCGTGCCGGAGGAGTACGAGGTGAGGTCCACTAAGAAGGGCTGGAAGCGTTACTCCACCAAAGAGATCGAGCGGCTGTTTTCAGAGATGCAGAGCTGGGAAGACAAAAGAGACGCAGCGCTTAAGGACTGCATGAGAAGACTCTTCTACAATTTCGACAAGAATTACAAAGACTGGCAGACCGCCGTTGAGTGCATGGCTGTACTTGGTGAGAAAAACAAATAAGTTAAGCCCAGATTTAAATGCATGTTTGAGCTTTGAAAGTGACATCTTAGGCTACGTCCACATTAATCCGGATGCATTTGAAAACGGGGTTTTCGTTTAAAAACGCTCTCCGTCCACACTAGCGTTTTCAGGTGTTTTCCGACGTTTCAGTGTGGATGAGAAACTTCTAAATTCACTTTACTGCGCATGCGTGAAACTTCACAAAAGCTCACCGAGAAAATAAATAATAATGTCATCGCACAATAACAGGATAATTTTATTTAGCAAAATATCTCACCATCACGGATGCGTCCAGGTCGCATTCAGTCACCATATGGTTGGTCTAAAACGCAACTGCTCTCCTGTTTTGCCGCAGGACTGCAAATGTGAGTAGACTACATTATCTGTTATCTTTGCAGTACTGTGCTATGAAGAATAGCACATATTAAGTAACATAGAAAGTAACATATTTTAGCAATAGTGTAAAAATGAATAACACATAACAGGCACAATACCGATAAACATGAATATCTATTGGTACTACATGGATCACATGACTAAACTTACGTCATCGTTTTGAAATACCTCCGGTTTCACCGTCCACACTACAACGCGAAAACGGCGTTTTCAAATTTATCCACTTTGGAGAGCGTTTTCCAAACGATACGTTTTTGTTGACTTAAAACGCCGTCTCAGTGTGGACGGAAGGCCAAAACGGAGAGAAAAATATACGTTTTCAAACGAAAACGTAATAGTGTGGACATGGCCTTAAAATATATCAGTGCCATTGTTTTGCCTCAAGATGCACTCCAGTCATGTTTTTTTTTTCCTTTCTAAGGCATATTTCTTATAGCTACTTAAATGTCCTAATTGAACTAAGGCTAATCCTGGCTTAATCTAACTCTTAAGCCCTGTCTGTGAGACCAGGGCTCTATTTATTTTGTTTAAACTTTCAAAATGTTGGTATTCATAAGACTAGTTTTTACCCTTTCGTTAAAAAATATTTCATACAGAATATCATACATATCATCAATAATGGCAACATGCTCAACTCCTTCATATTTTTTCAACTCCTAGCTGAAAATAGGCCGATTTTCATATTTGATTGTAGTTAATACAGCTATTCTTTATGGATGGGTTGTCAAAGGTTTCATTTGAGCTAGTTTGTAGTTACAAGTGCATTTGCATGTAAATCAATTAGGTGATGGCTAAAAAACATTTAATGATATTTTCCAGAATGGCTGTATGTGCAATCACAACAAGCCATGGAAATTTTGTTTTAGTGAAATTTTGACTTTTTCCAGAATTTCTACATTTTTCAGAATCGTAGAATGTTTCGGACCACAGAAAAGTGGAATATTTTCCAAAAAAATGCCTTGATAAGTACTTGTGAGATTGGTACTAGAATGATGTTTGGTAAAAAGATATGTTTTCTGTTGTTGTCACCACCAGATGTGCTGTTGAGCATGTCCCGGTACAGTCAGAGCGGAGACGGGCCCATGGCGAGACCGGAGATGGTTCTTCCGGGTGATGGGTCTCAGTCGCACCCCTTCCTGGATCTGAGAGCGTCCCGTCACCCTTGTGTCACCAAGACCTTCTTCGGTGATGACTTCATTCCCAATGACATCTTCATCGCTTGCCCTAGCGGTGAAGAAGAGGGTCAAGATAATGATAAAGCACTTGCCCCATGTGTGTTAGTCACCGGGCCAAACATGGGAGGCAAGTCCACCTTAATGAGACAGGTGAGTGTTGGAAATCAATATTCAAGATGACCAAAACAATGTTCATGGTGTGTTGATTCAATTAAAAATCCACTAAATGCAGATTCACAGTCTATGATGTGACTTTGTGTCGTAAAGGCATTAGATGAAACGTTACATTTTTGTCTTGAAAATAATTCTGAAACGGCCCAAAATAATTGATTTGAACTGAATCGTGGCCAAATTTCATCGTGCAATCATTGTCGGAGCAAATATTTTCACCCATACATCCCTAATCATTTAATAATGACTGAATATAGTCAAGAAGCATCTAGGTAAACTCGATGTGTTCGGCAGCTGTTCAGGAAGGATGTGGTTTGAGCTCCTATTTCTGGAAATGCACGTTTCTATATCACATTTTCAAAATGTTTAGTTGTTTAGGCCTGGAAATTCTGTCAATGAACATAATGTTAATATTAAATTAGTTATTATTTTAATTAATAAAGGAGATTTGTAAAATGTTGCATTCGGCCTATGGTACATCTACACATACTGGATTTACGACCTATTCATTAAGAGAATATGGAATATTTGTACTTTTAAAAATTAATTTCTTTCACCACGGGACTATTGAAGTAACCTAAAGTGTTAAAGAGGACCTACTAAGTCTTGATTTTGTTTTTGGGGTCTTCTAGATTAGGTTTTCATGCTTGAATTTTCAACAAACCCATTATCCATTGCTACAGCTCCTCTCTCAGTCTGTCAGTAAGGCCATGTTACCGTTACTGACAACTCAACCAGGCCCCGCCCCTTTATTCTGCATATTCATTATTTAAATGAGGAATATTATGACTCGTTCATTCCCGGAAGAAACTCAAGTCTACAATGGAGGCGTTTCAGGAGTTCAGAAACACTGACACTGATAAAGAGAAGAACTCCCACTGGAACATGTAAAAAAACATAATAGGACCATAATTGAGTTTTTGTGAACTTCCTGTTAAGTAGAAATAAAGTAATATGCAGATTCTTATGTGTTTCAGTGTGGTCTGGTGGTGATCTTGGCCCAGCTGGGCTGTTACGTTCCTGCTGAGAGTTTGCGTCTCACTCCTGTGGACCGAGTGTTCACTCGTCTTGGCGCCTCTGACCGTATAATGTCAGGTAAGTTGTAAGTTGCCGCTTGCTTCACTGTTCACGTGTGAGCTTTACTACAGGGTTTCCACTAGGGTTGTGCCGATAGACGATAGTATCGTGTATCGACGATAGTCTGACATATCGCCGATGGCAGATGCCCTTGACGATATCAATACGATAATTGGCTCGTTTTACCATAATGTATTAAATTATTATTATTAGGCCTATTATTATTATTATAAAGCTAGTATTGTTATTAAATGAATATTAGGAACTACAATTAATTTGCCTTGCCTAAATTTACAACGACATCACCTCATAACAATTGCAACAACACACGCACTAATGAGGACTCCTCTAAGAGAATGTTTTTAAAACAGATTAAAAAACATCCCACATCAAAATTCAATCGCAAGGTGATCCATTCACAAATTATCAAGTGTGCTCGTTTTAACAGACGCAAAATTAAATTTCCTACAGATCCAAGATGAAAACGGCATCGTTGTTCGTCAGTATTTGTTTCTGTAACACATTAACAAAACGTTTAATGACACTAACACTAAAAACAATACAATTACTAAATAGTATTAATAATAATATCACTAAAATAGTATTATAGGTACCGTTATCATCGTCGTCTCTGAGGGAACGCGGCGTTAATGCAGATGCCGAAAGCAGTCCGTTTTTACTTTCACTTTCAGAGATTGAGCGCGTTTACATGCGACGACGTTCTCAACCTGATTATGTTGAATAAACTTGACAATGCATGTGGTCATGTAAACGTTTCCTTTATCAGAGTCAAGTCATAAGTATAAGTATAAACCGATCGACTCAGCTAGACGTTTGGCCCTTGCTCTTGTTTCTATCGGCATTTAAAACACATTAACCCGCGTACTTCGTGCTTACTGAAGTGCGCATGTGAAGTGCGCAGAGAACGCACAGGGGGGCACATATCGCAAACTCCGACTCTTTCTGACCCAAGAAATTATTAAAACGTGTTTTCATCTCGTGCAGAAATAGACCAAAATGCTGCATGTAATGGCATGAGAATAGGCTAATGTGTCCGTAAATTTCCCGTTGACAAACAAAAGGATTAGGATCTCTTTTTTTTACTTCACTATGCCAGGAAATAACCTGATCCTATTAATAAACACTCCACCTTTGCTAGCAAAATAGAAAAAAGATTCTCGTATATAAAACGAAGTAGGCTAATAAAACAAGCAAATTAATGAGTAGGCTAAATAATCAAGTTAATAATCAAATAAGTTAGCCCCGCCCCCTCACGATAATATCGTGTATCGCCGATCTCACAGGCTGACGATAGGACGATATGAAAATGGAGCATATCGCCCAACACTAGTTTCCACGGGGTCTTAAAAAGTCTGAAATTCTGAACTTTAAATTTAAGGCCTTAAAAAGTCTTAAAAACGGCTAGATTTTCATCTGAGGTCTTAAATTTGATTTAGTCAGGTCTTAAAAAGATTTTACCAAAACTCTGGCCGCAGAAAGTTATTACAAAGAAAGTAGCAAAAAAGTATTGACTAGTAGCCTACAAAGCGCAGCTCTAGTGCAGGGGTTTAAACCAGTTCAAACACGCAGCTCCCGTGCTAGCTAGCATTAGCTCGTGGTTTGATACGAGGTAGCTTGCCAAGAGGCCGTTCATACACCAGGTTTGCGCGCTCAAGTTCATTCAAATATAGGCGCGTCGCATCCACAGCGAGATTGAAAAAATCTCGCCATTTCAGATTCAGAATGTCGCAAACGAACCGAAGAACCAACCAATCAGCCCCTTCCGTAACAACGTTGAAAGCTCAGTCAACATGAAGGATCGCGGTGCGCCCAAACACTACCGGTGTTTTTCTCTTCTCCGTGAATAAATCTTGTAGCAGACCTAACGTTACAGCAAGCGTTTCTCGGTGGTGGAAAAACCGTCTTTGTCGTTATGGAGAGCGCGGTGCATGGTTGCATAGCAACGACAGACGCAACAGAAAAATCGGCCCAAATTTTACCATTAATAATAAAAGATAAGGTGATGTGAATGTCAGTAATTTATCATTTTTTGACTCAATCTTTTTATAAAAGATTATTTAAAGGCTGAAATACGTGAGGTTTATCTGTTTATAAAACTATTTTTGTGAAGACTTTATTTTAACTAGACTTAACCTGTTGCAAGACACTCCTTTAAAATCTGGCCGTCATTTTTAATGGTATTTTAATGTTTCTGTAAACAAAAAGTGCATATTCATGCTAATTTTATATGCTGGGTTTAGACATACATTTGGCAAATTGATTTCATAGTAATCATGAAATGAAATGTTCATGCCATTTCATCTCTGGGTATGATCAACTAAAATCAACTATAATTGTGTTTTTACAGTATAAAATGCAAAGTACAAATTTCACCTACACACACATACATATTGTATAAAATAATTTTTTTCCGAATATTTTCTTATTTAAATTTTTGGTAATGTGTTGTTTAGGTCTTAAATTTCAATGTTTATGGTCTTAAAAACCCAGATAGCAAACTGACATTGAATCAACGTGGAAATATGACATTGAAACAACGTTGATCTGACATTGTTTTGCTCATCGAATTAACGTTGAACCAACGTCAGACGCGTCATTCTTTCAAAACTAACAGGAAAATCAACTTGAAATCAACGCGTTGTTTCAACGTTATGAAAGCAAACCAATTTTCGATTTTCATTTAGCTTTGAAGAATGCCGCGTCCGACGTTGGTTCAACGTTAATTCGATGAGCAAAATCGACGTTGTTTCAATGTCATGAGAGACGTCGTTTCCACGTTGATTCAATGTCAGTTTGCTGTCTGGGAAGGTCTTAAATTTGTCTTGCAGAAACCCTGTACTATCAACACTTAACCTATCGTGTTTTCTAGGTGAAAGTACGTTCTTTGTGGAGCTCAGCGAGACTGCTAGCATACTTTTGCACGCCACCAACCACTCCCTCGTCCTGCTCGATGAACTGGGTAAATGATCTGTTCATCTCACATTAAACCATAGCGTCACTGAGGCTAACTTGCCCCTTGGAAACAATCTATTGTAAAAAGCGCTATAGAAATAAAGGTGACTTGACCTTTTGTTGTGCTTGAACCGCAGGCCGAGGTACGGCCACGTATGACGGCACAGCCATCGCGAGCGCAGTGGTGAAGGAGCTGTCGGAGAAGATCTGCTGTCGGACCCTGTTCTCCACTCATTACCACTCGCTGGTGGAGGAGCACGCCCAGGACCCCGCCGTGAGACTCGGACACATGGTCAGTTTCAGCACAAACCGAATGAGAGACAAATACGTACCAATTGTCTTCGTGTGAGTGATGAACTTTTCTTGCGAGACGGAGTGTGACCGTGATCCTTCCTCCTTTATGGTCTCGACTCCCAGAATGTTATCTTTCTAGGCCAGGGGTGCCCAATCCTGCTCCTGGCGATCGACTGTCCTGCGCAGGGCTGGGTAATAAATATCGATATTAATCGATTCACATTTTTACGAACCGATTTTGATTCTTAAATCTCAAGAATCGATTAGTCATCCTGTTTCATTTGAATGAATGGGACATTGTATCGCGGCTGCGTGCATCCAAAACATCGCAATAATCTTTGTCCTTTGTTACTATTGATATGAAACAAAGTCTCAATTTTCAAATTACGTCCATTTTCTTTAGAAATTCAAAAACATAAATAGCGTTTTGGCGCTGTGGCGTGAGATCGCTCTGGAGAAGCAGCAGCGCTGATCTCTCTTCCGGCTTAATAATACCAGTCACAGCGCGAAATAAACATGAATGAGCGCCTGAAAGTGTGTTAAAAGATAGAGTACAACTTATCGAAATCCGTATCATGTCACATTGATTCGCTCAATCAGCGTTTCAACCGTGGAAAGACGTCAGTTAAACAGCTTGTAATCAATGTCATGTATCGTCATATTTACCTCAGAAAACCCACATCAACTCGTTAGTCAGCTAGAAAAGAAAAACTCCAGAGAGGAGCATTTTGCTAAATATATACATCATATTATATGCATTATAATCTTAATGTTCTTCAATATTTAATGCATATTTGAAAAAATATGGCAAGTTTTTTTTTTTATGACAGCCACCATTTAAATGTTTATATTTCATATAATCTTATTATTATAAAAATAAATAAAAGTGCAATTTAAGTGATTCATTCATTATTACCTTCATATTAGGCTAATTAAGTCTATAGGCTACAACTAGACTGCCATAGTTTACAGCATTAGTTAAGAGATTTGATTCCCTTGAGAAAAACTGCCATTTATTGCAACTGATGTCCAAAAATCAATATTGAATCGAAATCGAATTGCAAGCTTGTGAATCGAATCGAATTGTGAAATTTGTGTCAATACCCAGCCCTAGTCCAGCACAGTTCATCTCCAACCCCAATCAAACACACCTGAATGTGATCCTCAAGACCTTAATTGGTTGCTTCAGGTGTGTTTGATTAGGGTTGGAGATGAACTGAGCAGGACAGTCGATTAGGACAATAATGGTATTTTCAACCACATGTGGAACATTTTTAGGCTTTTTTTTAGACCTTCCTAAAATAATTGCCCGAGTCATTTTTTATCAGGTTGCTCAGAAAACACCAAAAACTGAACCAATAATTGAAAATATGATATTTATGTCGTTCTTGAAAAGCTTGAAAAATTGCTAAAGTCTCATTTTCTTTCACACTCTTGACATAGGCCATTATATTACAGGGGGAGAATTGCATGATCTGTGCAACTGAGGATGTGGGCGGTTTTCCCAGAGGTGGCCAGCATTAGAGGAGATGACTAAAGGCCCTTGCACACTGAGTCCGAAATATTCGTATGCATATATCGTATTTGTGATTCGGTGGCTCTGAATAGTCAAAACACCATTCAAACTGCTTGCTACGGATGCGAAAAACGCAGAAAATCTCTTCTTCTTTTTTTTATGACGTACGAAAGTTTCGGAGGCAGTTTGCAAGTGTGATTGACACAACGTGAGGTCATATTTATTTTTTAACGTGCGGAAATTTCAGACTTGTGTGCAAGGACCTTGATTAAAAAACCAAACAAACATTTTTGTCCAAATTAAAAATGACTTTTATTGGCAATTATTTTAGTAAGGTGACGATATTGCATCCTTTCCAATACAATTCCATATTAGAATAAGGTTTGTGTGCTCATATGATGGTCTCGCATCTTAAAGATGCACTTTCTTCCACACCGCAAAGCACTGTGAACAACAAGTAGTTGTGTTTAGTGAAAGGATTTTCATTTGTTTCCCTCTCAGGCCTGTATGGTGGAGAATGAATGCGAGGACCCCAGTCAGGAGACCATCACCTTCCTCTACAAGTTCATCTGTGGCGCGTGTCCCAAAAGTTACGGCTTCAACGCAGCGCGCTTGGCAAACATCCCGGAGGAAGTCATCCAGTCGGGCCATAAGAAGGCCCGTGAGTTTGAGAGGAGCACCGTGTCTCTCAGGATATTCAAGTAAGAACATTTATGAACCGAGTGACGTTTTCATGACAATTAAAAGAGTAGTTCACTTTTAAAAAAAGAACTTTGCTGATAATTTACTCACCCCCATGTCATCCAAGATGTCCATGTCTTTCTTTCTTCAGTCGAAAAGAAATGAAGGTTTTTGATGAAAACATTCCAGGATTTTCTCCATATAATGGACTTCAATGGGAACCAAACGGTTCAAGGTCCAAATGAGAGTTTCAGTGCAAACTGCAAACGGTTCAAAGGGCTTTAAACAATTCCAGACGATGAATAAGGGTCTTATAAAGGACCCTTCGAGTCATGACTAGAAAAAAAGATTTGTTCATTTTGATGAACGAGTTTGAACAGGAGAGTCACGAACGCGCATCACAGAACAGAGCAAGGCGAGCATTTGTGCTTATAAAACTTAAACTTTTCAAATTATTTTTGAAATGACCGATGGTTTCGCTAGATAAGACCCTTATTCATCGTCTGGTGTCGTTTAAAGCCCTTTGAAGCTGCACTGAAACTCTCATTTGGACCTTGAACAATTTGGACCCCATTGAAGTCCATTATATGGAGAAAAATGCTGGAATGTTTTCATCAAAAAGCTTTTGGCAAACATGCAAATTAAAAGTTATTTCACACTTAATGCAATCTAAAAGCAGGCATTAATGTGTATCCTAGTATGCATTGGAGAATCTAATTACTTTTGTTTTGCCAGGAAACTGTGGTCATTGGCTGAAGCCTCGTCAGCTGATCGGGAGCAGTTCTCAGCGCTGGTTCAGATGATCGGCAGCCTGTGATGAGAAAACCTTTTGTTTTGAGCACTTCAGTTCACTATTCCATGAGTTATTTTTCACCACATATAAAGCAAGCAGGCATCTCACTACTGAAATGATCTAATAAAGTTTATTTTTAAAAATGTAACACGTTCCTCTGACTAGGAAATTAAACTTTTGATTAATTACTACCAGCTACATAATGGTTATTGAGTACTTCACAATATATTAAGTCTAGATGTCATGGAACATGCATACAATTCAGGCTGTATGAGAACCCACAGTCACCAAATACAGTTGGATGGAGGGGGAAAGCACAAAAAAAGCTGTACAGATATTCATCAGAGCTTCAAATAAGCAAGAAGCCTCTTAAAATCTCCAGCAACGTCACGCCGGCTCGCGGCATTCAGGGGGAAATGGGGCAGGAACGCGAGTCTGGTGTCCTGCGTTTACTTTTTTAGTCTTTCCTGATGTCATCCAATCAGGATAAAGGGGCGGGGACATTATTTAAATCACTTGGGCCAAATCGTTACCAGCATCCTGGTGACTTAAAAACTTTTATATCACTTGGACACTTTCCCTTCAGACTCAAAACATTGCTGGAGAATACTTAGTGTTTCTTTCTCTTTTCTTCTTTTTTTCCTTTTTTTCATCAAATCTCTTTCACAGAAAGAACATACATCCTGCGACATGAGAACAAATACAGCAAATCTAAGGTATAAACAACCCCAAAATTAATATACTTAATAAAATAAAAAGACATTCAAGTACATTTAAGATTTTTGCTTGAAAATACAAAACTACATGAGAAAGCATTAAAATCAAACCTCAATAACTCAGTCTTTAAAAAAACAAAACAAAACCAAAAAAAAAACGAAATTGAAGTGCTGGGTCATTTTTTTTTTTTCCCGTACATATACAAGAGTGCGGTGATGGCTGCTTGGAGAACAGGTGCATCATGGGAAGCATTGTGAGGGTCCGTTTCTCTCGTGTGTGTGTGGCTCAAACTGGGGATCCATGCGCTTCACCGTCCTCGTTCATCATCCCACAAATCCTGAGTCAACAGGATCGCAGAGTGACTGCGTTTGCATTTGTTAAATAGAAATGTTTTCTCTGTCCACGTTTACACAATGTTTGTTTGTTTGAATAAAATTGAATTATTTCTAGCGTGTAATCTCATCTGCACTGGAGTCTGTAGGTTCAGTTGTGCTGCAGTGTGTTGGACTCTATAGGAGGAGCCGAATCGTACAGCGTGTCCGTGTCGTGAGTCGGCTCTCCGGCTAGTGTGCAAGGGTTTGACAACGTCCCCGCACCACAGTCACAGAAAAACCTGCAGAGACAAACACACAAGAATAGATGTGTGTATAGAAATATACTTCAGTTTAGGGTTCAATTCTCACTATCAACTAGTTGCTTATTAGCATGCATATTACTTGGCTGTGTATTAATACTTATAAAGCACATATTAATGCCTCATTCTGCATGACCATATTCTAGTTCATTTTTAAAAAAAACTTTTGCTGATAATTTACTCACCCCCTTGTCGTCCAAGATGTCCATGTCTTTCTTTCTTCAGTCGAAAAGAAATTAAGGTTTATGATGAAAACATTCCAGGATTTTCTCCATATAATGGACTTCAATGGGGTCCAAACGGTTCAAGGTCCAAATGAGAGTTTCAGTGCAGCTTCAAAGGGCTTTAAACGATTCCAGACGATGAATAAAGGTCTTATCTAGGACTCTTTGAGTCATTACTAGAAAAAAGATTTATTTCTTTTGATGAACGAGTTCGAACAGGAGAGTCGCAGAACAGAGCAAGGCGAGCATTTGTGCTTATAAAACTTAAACTTGTTAATTTATTTTTTAAATGAGCGATGGTTTCGCTTGATAAGACCCTTATTCATCGTCTGGTGTCGTTTAAAGCCCTTTGAAGCTGCACTGAAACTCTCATTTGGACCTGGAATCGTTTGGATTCCATTATATGGAGAAAATCCTGGAATGTTTCCATCAAAAAAATAGGAAAAATGCCTTTTATTTCTAAATTATGACTATTTTTTATCTAAAAAACATACTAACATTATAAGGGCAACCCAGGAAACATTATAAAATAATTTTAAAAAAACAGTATAGGGCTCCTTTAATTTCTTTTCGACTGAAGAAAGAAAGACATGGACATCTTGGATGACATGGGGGTGAGTAAATTATCAGCAAAAGTTTTTTTTTTTTTTAAAGTGAACTACTCCTTCAAGGGTAAAATATGAACCAAACATTTTTTTCATGAAATTTGGTTGCTAATGCTAACTGACCTTGTCCTTTAAGTCAATCTGTATATAAATATATATATATATGCATTTTTCTTAACAATTGTATAAAATATATTAAAATAAATGATAGGGCCATTGCATTTTTAGCTAGAACCAATTAAATAAAAGAGAGTTTGAATCACATTTTACACGTAAAAAAAAACATATACATACATATATACATTTATATATATATATATTACTTTTTTTATTGTCAAATTGCTTGGCACTTCAGCACATGTTCTCTCCAACTGTCATAATGCAAAACCTCTATAACAGCAATATTTTTTGGGCATAATATTGGAAAAAAAAACATTTTTTTAATCAGCATAAATTATTGGCAGAGCAACAAACACTGTCATGATGTACACTTCCTAATGCACTTAGAAATGCATTTCTTTCCTTGACATTAAAGGGATACTCCACTGTTTTTTTCATATTAAACTATGTTATTTGCTTAACTAAGACGAGTTGATGCACACCTCTGTCGTCTCAGTGCGTGCGAGACACTTTGATATTAGCACTTAACTAGCCCAGTTCATTCAATATGGGCCAAGCAGAGAAGCGACCAAACACCTGCACATTTTCCCTATTTAAATACAGTTACACGAGTCGAGTAACTCGACCTAGGACGGTGACACAAAATAAAACATTGCGCTTTTCTAAGCGTGTAAAGTGGATAACTATATTGTATGGCGGATTACCACAGCAAGTGACCGGGAGCACTTCGACTCAGTGTAGTAATATCATCACACATGAAAAGTCCTCTCAAAAAACGGTGGAGTATCCCTTTAATTCCATTTCCAGTAGAAAACGAGCTAAATAAAATAGACCTTTTATTTTTTGGAATGCAAAATGATATTTTAGTAATAAATGCAAAGCAAGCTCATAGTAAGATTTAGAGGGCATGACTGACCTATCATGTCTAATAAATTCTACGTCGTGCCCTTGATGACACTTCTTGATGCAGTTCACACAGATGGCGTTGCGGTCTGTCGTGTTACAGGTGTGACACCTGCACGGAAGAACAGAGCAGTGAGAAAGCAGCCGCCAAAGTCCCACGCCGACTTCAAATGGATGTTCCCGAGGAGCGTTACCTGTAAAAATCGTGCATTGGATAGCTGGTGTAACTGGAAATCTTGTACAGGCACTGACCTCTGCTCACAGCTTTCTCAATGGCATCCTGGTTGTTCATGATTTTGTTGTCTGTGAAGAAGATTAAAGGGGAACACGGTTCACGTCATGGTCACGGGATCATCAAACAGGCAAATTCCAAATGCGTTCAGCTTACCTTTCATTGTGACGTTGACGCCAGATGCGAGAAACAGTCCACCGAAGCGATTGTTGAAAATCTGGTTGCCTTCTAACGTTGCCGTTGCGTGATTTGTGATCTCAATACCTGAGACAGATAGAGGTCAACAATTACTTGCATATAATGAGTACTTGGTATACATCTCGTATCAAAAATACAAAAATTTCAGTTCAGAAACACTTTTCATGAAGGTTTCAACAGTTTATACAAAGTGTTTCAAGCTAAATCAATATGCAAAAGCCTCTAAATGCCATTAGAAATTTTCTTCTTTAATAATGATTTTTTATCAAACTTGTATATTTAAGTTCAGTAATTTCATTTAAATAACAATTAATAGGTAATCTTCATTGCCATTTAAGTGAAATCACTGAACTTAAATATACAAGCTTGATAAAAATGATCATTTTAGAAGAAAATTTTAAATGGCACTAAGAGGCTTTTGCATCTGAACTCTTCAAATGTTTACTATAAAAAAATCTTAATAAAAGGGTGTGTTCATCTTTGTGCTTCCTGTTCACGTCTGTCATCTCTTTTTTTACATTTACAGAATAGTGTCTTATTTTAGAGGCTCTGTAAGAAAAAAAACACTAACGCAAAATCTGTTTTTTTCTTCAAACCAACATAAATTAATAAATATGTATACTTTCAAATGCATAAAGTTAAAAAAAAAAACAAGGTTTCCACATGATACAGATTTGAGGAGAAAATATGTTTCTTTGTAAAAAAAAAATAAAATTATATAAAATTAGTCCTACCAGAATGGCTTCATGCAAAACAATTTGTTATATTGATATATATATATATATATATATATAAATAAAAAGCTTTTGTACTTAACAAAAAAAAAATGTGCAGAGAGCTTATGGGTAACACTTTACAATAAGGTTCGTTAGTTAACATTAGTTAACTACATTAGTTAATATGAACTAATAATGAATAGCACATATACAGCATTTGTTAATCTTTGTTAATGTTATTTTCAACATTTACTAATACCTGATTAAAATCTTGTTAACATTAGTTAATGCACAAACAATGAACAGCTGTATTTTCATGAACTAACATTAACAAATGCAGTAACAAATGTATTGCTCATGGTTAGTGCATGTTATTAAATACATTAACTAATGTTAACTAATGAACCTTATTGTAAAGTGTTACCAAACAAAGAAAATATCAAATTAAACATGTCTAAAAACTTCTTTATTTTAAGGTAGTGATTCATATTAATTAACATGAGGGTTATTTGCTGTCTTTATGCATAATTTCATTTACTGCTATTACTCTGGTACATATGTAACAAGGACACTGTAAAATAAAGTGTTGCCACTTCCTGTTGAAAAATGACTTTACCAGCAGCAAATCCATCAAATATCCTGTTCTTGCGCAGCACAGGGTGACTGTTCGTGCTGATGAGGACTCCCGCCTGGGCGTTCCTGAAGATGTCGTTCTCTTCCAACAACCCTACAACACACAAACACCATTATTAGTGTGAGACTGGAATCTGATCTAGATGATTGACTATCGCAACTGTTCGGTGTGGAGGCATGTTTCCCCAGATGTTTTCTGGAGTCAGAGCTTGTCACACACCGGCTGTGTGTTTCCACAGACTTAATGCTGTAATGTGTCACACTACATGAGCCCTAACGGAGCATGAAGAAGGCCGTCACCTCGTCCTCCGTTGAATATACAGATTCCCCCGTCCCGCCCGTCGTGGATCTTGTTCCTGCGGAGTGTGGGGTTGCTGTCGGTCTTGATCCAAACCCCTGCCATGGCGTTGTCAAAGATCTCGTTGTCTTCGATAAAGCCTAAACCTGAGGAGAGATTACGAGGACGCTTATTTTTCGGATTAAAATAGAAATGTCAGCCTTTATATCAAATCAACACAACAAAAAGGTTATGATGGAAATATTACCTGAATTGTAAACAAGAATTCCTCCATTTTGTCCACCCCAGATTTTATTCCTCCTAATTTTGGGATTGCTGCCAGTTCTACAAAAAGAAATACAAAAAAACAACAACATTTGTCACTACTTAAAATCAATAAATAATTAATTTTATAATCCCACAAGTCTTTTTAAGATACATATGGAAGCTTGTTTCCGCCACAGAATGAAAAATAAAAAAAGGCACTTGCGACCTTTTCTCACAATTCGGACTTTTTTTCTCAAAATTGCGAATTTACGTCTCTCAATTGTGAGATATAAAGTCAGAATTTAATGATATAACGTCGCAATTGTGCGTTAGAATAGTTTATATCTCACAATTCTGACTTTATGAGGGAGGAAAAGTTAGTCCTTCTCCCCTCAGAATTGGCCTCGCAATTGCGAGTTTATATCTGACAATTCTGAGAAAAGATGTCCAGAGAAAAAAAAAAGGCAGAATTGTGAGAAAAAGTCACAATTCTGTCTTTTTTTCTTGCAATTGCAACTTTATTTGTCAGAATTGCGACTTTATATCTTGCAAATGCGACTATTTCTCACAATTGCGAGATATGAAGTCAGAATTGTGAGAAATAGTCGCATTTGCAAGATATAAAGTCGCAATTCTGAGAAATAAAGTTGCAAGAAAAAAAAGACAGAATTGTGACTTTTTCTCAAAAAGTCAAAATTATTATTATTATTATTATTTTTTATTCAGTGGCCAAAATGCCAAATTGGAAAATCAATCATGATTATTTAACTAATTTACTTTGGAAATGTCATGCATTCGTTAAACTTCTAAAACAAACTTGCCTTTTTAACAGAAGGACTTTGAAAATAAATGCAATAATAAAAAGACAAAATAAATAATGATATTAAATAATAATAAAACAAAAATTTTTCCCCAAAAAATTCAATGCATAAAAAAATACATACAAAAGGATTGAAAGTGAGAGCATCATTGCGAAATGGAATGTGGCGCAATAATAATTTTGACTCGATTATCATATTAGTTGAAAGCCAAAACTGAAAATGCAATTCATAACCAGAGCTCGACCGATAAAGGATTTTGAAGGCCGATACCGATACAAATATTTTGGGGTTTTAAAATCCGATATTCCGATATATCGGCCGATATTTTTTTTTTTTATTAAATATTGTTGGATTTCACACACGTGTAAAAGAAAAGCAAACTTTTCTGCACAGGATACGTTTGATACTTTTTCTCTATGTCTAAATGTTCACTCCTCGCAAGTATAACTTATATTTTACAATGCAGGAACTTTAACTAGAGATATGCTAGTTATAAATACTGTAATAATTACTTTATTTAGGCAGAAAAGGTTCATTGTGGTTTCCAAGCTCATTAATGTTAACGTTAGCGGTCTTCCACTGATGAAACTGCAAGTTGTAAAACATACATTTTCAATATAACAGGCCAAGGAGAGATGATTGAAGCGTGTTTCCTCCGTTTTTATTTTATTTTTGAAATATTCATTTATCGGCCATTATAACTGCGATACCGATATCATGGAAAATGCCTAATATCGGCCGATATATCGGTCTGGCTCTATTCATAACTGAAATAAAATTCAGCAGCCGCTCAGCTCTACATGATGGTGCTTAAACCTGAAAATTAGGATACAATGACGCCACTGACCTGATCTGAACTCCAGAGTACATGTGGTTATAGATGTCATTGTCTTCAAGCACACCGTGACCATTATCATAGAAATAAACGCCCACCTGTGGACAGAAACACATTTAATGCATCACTCAGATCGATGAGAACCAGTCCGTCCCGAACGCCAGCCTCACGCTTATTTGGTCTTTTGAATGGGAATGTTAGCATGAGAGCATTAGGAAGCAGGATACACACACAGACTAGAGTGAGAGAGTGTTACACACCTGTTTTCCGCTGTGTATTCTGTTTCTGCGGAGCACAGGGGTGCTGCCCGTGGTCACCCACACACCGGCCAGTGTGTTGCTGTACACCTCGTTCTCCTCGATCACACCCTGACCCTTCTCATGCTGACAAACCAGAGAGAAATCAGGGACTGTGAGTGTCTACAACCTGGTTATCAGGACTAGAACAGGGTCACCATGAAATCACAATTGACAATTCCTAGTTTGCAGTATTTATTATAAATGATTTATCATTTTTTAAATTTTTTTATTCATATGCGTATCCGTATCATGTAACCAGTGTTTCATCTGTGGAAAGACGTCGGTTAAACAGCTTGTAAACAATGTCATGTAGCATCACGTTTACCTCAGAAAAACCATGTGACCATAAACCTAGTCAGTTAGTCAGCTTGAAAAATAACTCTAGAGAGGAGAATTTTGCTAAATGTATCCACCATATTACATATTCATTATGTTTAATGTTCTTCAATATTTGAATAAATCTGACAAGTTTTTATGACAGCCACCATTTAAATGTTTATATTTCATACAACTTTCTTATTATAAACATAAATAAAAAGTGTCATTTAAATGTTTGTATAGCTAGAAATCCGTTCGTTTTTACCTTCAGTATTATAGTATAGGCTACAACTGACTCCCATAGTTTAAGAGATTTGTTTTCCTTGAACAAAAATTGCCATGTATTGTATCTGACATCCAAAATTCAGATTTCAGATTATTTTATTTCATGCCATGTCAGCAGTCAGAGCTATTTTCATGGCAAAAATTCATTTACAAAAATACAAACATCATATAAATACAACAAATATAAACAAGAAGTCATATTATACAATATATTTTTTTTAAATCAACATATGATAAAAAAAAAAAATCCAGAACCGTTTCAGGCATAATCTCATTAAATATGTCCTTCAAAGAAGTAACTTCATAATGCTTGAGTCAAGTCCAGGACAATCTAATAAAAAATGTTTGACAGATAAAGGAATTTTACTAAAACATACATAAAGTTGGGTCTTCACCTTTAAGCAAAAAAGCATGGGTCAAACTTGTATGACCCATACGGCATCTGGTGTAGACCACTTGATCAAATCTAGTTTTAAAATTGTTAAGTTTGTTATTTCCAGATGAGTTTCATACAACTTATTATTCTTGCACATAATTCACTCTTCTTGCCACTTATTTAAAATATATCGGTTAATAATCGGCCTGATAGATATCCAAAATAATCAATATTGAATCGGAATCGAATTGTGAAATTTGTGTCAATACCCAGCCCTAATATCTAATGTATGATTTTTGCGAGACTTTTTGCATCTTGTGTTCTATTTACTAAAAATATATATATTTTGTTTATTTGCATGTCATGTGACCATCAAGCAACATCAGAGAACCATGCTCATGTGAATGTGTTGTTAAAAGATGAATTATGATGTTTTGGTCTGCTCACTCACCACATAGATGCCTCCATGCTGTCCGTCGTGGATCTTGTTGTGCCGGACGATCGGGCAGCTGTTGGTCCGGATCTGGATTCCCGCTAAAGCGTTGCCATAGATGTCGTTCCCTTCGATGAGACCTCGGCCGTCGCCGAATATGTAAACACCGCCCTGGTTGCCATTAAAAATGGCGTTACCCCTGCGATTGATACGAGAACAGTATGAGTGGATGTACTGGTACGGTTAGCCTGCAGAAATCATATACTCATGTCTATTATTGACTCCCTCACCTGATCGTGGGGTCGCTGTTTGAGGTAATCCACACACCCGCGAAGTTGTTTGCATAGATCTTGTTCTCGATGAACTGGCCTCGGCCCTTCTCGTGCACGTAGATGCCGCCCGTCTGCCCGTGATGGATCTCGCAGCGCACTACTGTGGGGTTAGCATACGCCTTCACCTCGAAACCTGCTATCCGGTTCCTGTGGATGTTGCAGCTCTCAAAGTAGCCCTGCAGAGGGAGCCAGAGTCACAACTGAGCTGCTCCAGTGTTTGCCATGTTCACAAACACATGCTACTCTTGCTTGAAATGCAGTATGCGGTGCTTACTGTGCAAGTACGCAGCTACAAAACGGGGATATTTTTACCCAAAAAAAGGTACAAATGCAAAGATGCATGCAAACTTTTATAGTTGTACATACTATATTTAAATAATAATAATAATAATACACAGAATGTGGAATGAGGTATATACTTTAGCATGCATTACATCATCATAGTTAAGAGTGTAATACTAGCCTACTGCCGACTACATACTTCCTATTATTTTTTGTAATAGAATTAATTATGCAACAATAAACATGAGCATGGGGATATGAACAATATAATGGAGGAGGAACAAAATGCTTGATTAGATATCATATCATTAATTTTCACTAACACTATTTTATTTTTCGTATATCTGTAGCTATCTTTGATTGCGGTGTATCGTTTACATACTTTATTATCCATTGTTGGTTTGTGCTATTGCACTTTTCAGGTAATAAGAGCCCCGGTGTTTGTTTTGTTTTTGTATATTATATTTGATGTTACAGACATGATGTGATGTACATTGTTGTGTAAGTGTTCAAGAAAATGCAATAAAAACAATATTACAAAAAAACTTCTAAATAGCTGTTAGAAGTTATTTTACAAATTTCATCCATTTTTGTTGACAAATGTTGATCATATAATCTGTATGTCTATTATTCCTAGTTTATCACACTGTAATACTTCACAATGAAGGATATAGTGTATAGTGTACATACTGCAGAAAGAGTAAGAGTAGTATGATAATATGATCGTATTAATTACGTTAGTACTCCATTCCAGTGTTGCTATTAGCTAAATGACTAAATAACCATAATAGCTTTAACTATTAAAAAATATTGAAAATAAAACTGAAATAAAATTACAAATATAATATTAGAACTTATTAGCAATTAACTGAAATAAAAGTACTAAAACAGAAGTAAAAATAAAGCTAAATAGAAATACTAATAAACACGGATATATAGGTTAACAGAGCAAGGCGAGCATTTGTGCTTATAAAACTTAAACTTTTTTATTTATTTTTGAAATGACCGATGGTTTTGCTAGGTAAGACCCTTATTCATCGTCTGGTGTCGTTTAAAGCCCTTTCAAGCTGCACTAAAACTCTCATTTGGACCTTGAACCGTTTGGACCCCATTGAAGTCCATTATATGGAGAAAATCCTGGAATGTTTTCATCAAAAACCTTAATTTCTTTTCGACTGAAGAAAGAAAGACATGGACATCTTGGATGACATGGGGGTGAGTAAATTATCAGCAAAAGTTTTTTTTTAAATCAACAACTCCTTTAAGGCTGCCAAGACTCTCAACACACACACACACACTGTCATTGTGTAGTGCAAAGACACAAAGAGTTGTTACCATGCCGTGGTCAAACGTGAACACCCCGACATCTCTGCCGTGATGGATGTGGTTTCGTCTGATGATGGGATTGCCGTGGTTTTTCACCCAGATCCCCGCTAGAGCATTATTGGAGATCTCGTTGTCTTCGTAAATGCCCTGCAGAGCAAACGCAGAGATCGACAGCGTGACTCATCCGCTACAGAGGACCGATCTGACGGGATATTCGGGTTTCATATTACCTGCGCGTGGTCCGTGATATAGAGTCCTACATTCTCACAGTCGCTGATGTTACAGTGTTTGATCGTGGGTGAAGCTCCCTGGCCACTTACACACACTGCAGAGCCCACTGCACACAGATAACACACACGACCGTCAGCATCACACACACAACAGAGCTCAACAGCAAGTAAAAAATGCCATTTAAAATCTCTTAATACACAAGATATGAGTTTATGAACATGAGCTCATATCATCAAAATCTCACTTTGCATGTTAGACGGCTGCATTTGTGAAAAAGAAACACCTAACCCTAAAAAAATTCCAAACAAAAGGTTTCTCAGCTGTTTATGAGAAAAGGAGAAATATGCAATTACTTAAGGGAAATGTTACTTATTTTTCGCATAAATATACTTGTAACCAATTGCTTTAATATATAATTGTACTTGAAGTCACTTATCTACCATGCAAATATGCTAATTATAATATTACATGGCATCAGGCACCAGTATTCCTGGTCTAGGAGGAATACAAAGGAGTAATGGTCATTTTAAAGACCTGACGGCCACCATTTTGCCTTTCTTGGAGTCAAACTTTGAGTATGATTTTAAGTACATCTGATACTACTGTAAACCACTGAGAAACCTTTTTTTAGAATTTTTTTGGGGTCAAGCCATATTTGCAGCTGACTATGTAATGAGTCTATATAATATATTAGTTTCACCTTTTAAGTTGAATTACTGAAATAGATGAACTTTTGCACGATGTTCACATTTTTCGAGTTTCACCTGTATATTTCATCTTCATTAACAATGTGGATTTTTATAAAGATCCGTTTTGGCCATTAACTTCTGAATGCGGCATTATGCATTAATATAAGGGGAGTTCTCCACATGAAAGTACACACTCAGAATTATGTAGTTCTTCACAAAAAGAGTGCATACTTATTTCGTAGTATAAATAGGCAAATTGGGATGCAGTATTTAAAAGCGAGTCCTTGAATCATTCATTCAAACAGAGTAAAAAAACAAGACATTTTGTCAGAATCTGTAGTAAATGACATATTTTGTTTAGTTTTCCATTCAGAAATGATACATTCATGTGCATAGAGCACTATATAGACTTTACGCACGTCTACTGCATTCTGCCTTTATGTGGTTTAAGACTTTTGTCTATTCTAACTTTCTGCGCATTGTATGTTTTCCTGCTCTGCGAGAAGATCCAAAGTAAGGATTCAATTAGAGGCCGATACCGATACAAATATTTTTGGGTTTTAAAATCCGATATATATTGGCCAATATTTTTTTATATTAAATATTGTTGGATTTAACACACGTGTAAAAGAAAAGCGAACTTTTCTGCACAAAATACGTTTGATACTTTTTCTCTATGTCTAAATGTTCACTCCTCGCAAGTATACATTTCACAATGCAGGGACTGTAACTAGAGATATGCTAGTTATAAATACTGTAATAATTACTTTATTTAGGCAGAAAAAGTTAATTGTGGTTTCCAAGCTCATTAATGTTAACGTTAGCGGTCTTCCACTGATGATAGTGGCATTAGCTAGCTTTGTGGTTAGCTAGTCTATGATGAACCATAATTTAGCAATAGATAACATCATACTGCAAATTGTAAAACATACATTTTCAATATAACAGGCCAAGGAGAGATGATTAAAGCGTGTTTCGTCCGTTTTTATTTTATTTTTTAAATATTCATTTATCGGCCATTATAACTGCCGATACCGATATTATGGAAAATGCTTAATATCGGCGGATATATCGGTCTGGCTCTAGATTCAATGCACTTATGTACAGGGAGTGATGCACTATGACAGTATAGAAAATGTGATATAAATGGAGGGAAAACCAATTAATTTAGGGGGGTAGAAAGAAGCAAGCTGTGTTCACCTGTGCAGGTGCTGCGGATGATGCAGTGGTCAATGATGGGGCTGCAGTTGACCGTGATCTCCAGGCAGTGATGAGCGTTGTGATGTTGAGCTGATTTGTCATCAGGATTGAACTGCAACAAAGACCCATTATATGCACATGTGCCTAAAAACAGCCCTTTTGCAATAATGCCTTTTTGTTTTTCCTGTGCATGAACAACATGAGGGTGAGCACATTAGCTGAACTATTCCTAAACCTTCTTTTACTGAAGCAACTCACCTTTATTGTCATATATCCTACATATGCGTCCTCTGACCCCTCCATGAACACAAACGTTGAATCTCTAGTGTTCTCGATGATGACTTTATCCGCTACTTTCCCCGGAGCTGCAAAAGCACATGTACGATTAATATTTACACAGTTACACAGAAGAAAATCACACTACCATTCAAAAGTTTTTAGGAAATTATTACTTTTATTCAGCAAGGATGCATTAAATTGATCAAAAGTGGAAGTAAAGACATTTAAAATGTTACTAAATATTTCTATTTCAAATCAATGCTGTTTTTTAAACTTTCAATCTATGAAAGAATCGTGAAAAATCGATTGCCACAAAAATATGACTCTTTTTAACATTGAAAGTGATCAGAAATATTTACTGAGGATCATATTAGAGTGATTTCTGAAGGATAAGTAACATTTTACAATATATTCACATAGGAAAGAGTTATTTTTACAATATTTTGGATTAAATTCAGCCTTGGTGAGCATAAACGACTTCAAAAAAATTGAAGAAAACTTACAGACCCCAAACTTTTGAACAGTAGTGGACTTAAATGTTCACATATATTCTCATACCAGCGCCAATCATCGTGATGGGCGACTCGATGTAGATCCATTCATCTGTGTAGATCCCAGAGTGGACAAATATCAAACCGTCAAAGTGGGCTTCCTGAACCCCTCCCAGAGCGTCTTCAATGGTGTCGTAATACTGAGGAAAGAGTTCAAAGCAAAATTACAAAACAAATCATACTCGCTCGTAACTACAAAATAAATACTGAGCCATATTTGAACAAACTCCTAGCATTAGTTATTAAAGGGGCGATATGTAGAATTCAGAAACCCCTGTGAACTAACATGAACTCAAAAGATTGATAAATGCTTTAAATAAATACATGGCTCATTGGTAGTTCATGTTAGCTAATCCATTTCCTAATGTAAAAAATGAGACCTTATTGTACAGAAATTGCATGATCGGTGGTAAAAATCAACAAGACTTGCATGAAATATTTCTAGACATTGAAACATCATAAGGATTTTCATAGATAAATTTAAATCAGAAAACGTACACTTACATCTAGTTGTTTTTATTCTTATACATAAATGCATACATTTATTGAACGTTGCCCCTTGAGGCTGTGTTACTGTGATTTACCACAGCTCGGGGGTGTTTACGAAGTATAACATCATCCATATAATCCATAAACAAACCATATAATGATCTAGAACGTACCAGCATGTTTTCTCGTCCCTTGTATCTGGCCGGGTTACTGTAGAAATGTTCTGCGAAGCCCGGCTTCACGTGAGCACCTTTATACTGCGAACACAAAGATCAGGGATGTTTCTTCACTAATATACTCTCATAAAGCTCACTGATGAAACTAATGATTACTGACACATCAAGATCTCCCTAATTATCACATTACCACACCATCTGTCCACTTTTGGATCCTGGGGGGAAAAAGACTAAATCACTCAATTCTCATTCTCAGATTTGTATTGTTGTGCGTGCTCTTGAATACACAATATTTAATAGCTTCCCAGCAAGCACTTGCAGCCAAATGAGAACGACAAAAATAGCCCATTTAATTGTAAAAGGTCAGAGAGAGCATGGAAAATGGGCTCTAAATACTAGGGCTGTAATCTCCCAGTCGACTAGTTGATTCAATACATTCTGACTCAACCAAAATTCAGATTTTTCGATTTTTGATTCAGTCGATTTTTTGCCGTGTTAATTTCATCAGGTGGAAAGCACTAACTGCTAATGGGGGTGTTTTCAGAGTACCCCTGTTTCACAGGTAACCATCTGTCTTCAGAACACCCCCTTGTTTTCACTGTTTTTGGATTAGCCCAACCCAATGGCTAAACCTAATGTGCAATGTCCCACTGTTTGTATTTGTTTTGAGCCTTTGCTTTATTTTTCAGCTCTCGTTTTGATCTGATTTGTATAATAAATATACATGATAGTGTCTGTCAGTTATTATAACATACGACAAAAACAATTGTCTAAATTATGTTGCATATTCCTCAACAGTTCTTATACTGATATCTCATAGTACTATTTTCGGAAATCATAAGCCAACTATAATATTGCGCAGGTGCACGTGATGCAACGCTGACAGACTCGAGTGTGTCATTTCAGTGCAAAAGAATTAGGTCAAAAACGATTTAACATACTTCAAAAAGCCTACTAGTTTTACGTTTATTTCTAATTAATTTAGGCTACCAAGTCCTACGCAGCTAATTAATCAAATTTAGGCGGGGGGGTTCGCTTAAAAGTTCATTTTTCTTTGGTGGATTACAGCCCTACTAAATACTTACTTATGTTTTTTTTTATCCCAAAACGTATAACAAATGAATCAGGGGAACAGTACCAGTTGCTGAAAGCTCTCCTTCCAGGGATTGGGCTGTTCATGCTCCTCTGGGTTGATCTGGAAGAACTTCCCAGACTCGGGGTGCATCATGGGACGCGTGTACTCGAAAACCTCCATGTAGAGTCTCTTCCTGCAAACCAGATGAGAAGAATCGAGATCAATGACCCTTACGCTAAAACTCCCAGAAAAAAAGCTTCAATGGGGTTCAAGAGCAGCTTAATTTGATTCATATCCATGAATCAGTTCAAAAGAGGTTAAAAACTGGGATTCATTTATTTGAGTAATCACTCAAATCTGTTCAAAGAAATTTCCATGAGGACTTTTTTATTTAATAAATTGTTGAAGGAGATAATTATGGCTGTTTGTGTATTGTATTGGTACATCTTTAAAATGCTCCAACATACTTTCTTAAGCTCGAGTGACAAAAAAAAGTTTGATTTTATGAAATTTCATTACATGGACCCAAATAATCGTATTGAGGGCTCAATCGGAGTGAAAAGCCTTCATGTGAACACCTTAATCGATCTGACTGACCTCAACCCCAATGAAATTTTGATCCGAATGAAAGGGATTGAGCAGACCCGAAATAATCTGATCAACAGTGGAGAGAAATTCGCATATTTACATTAAGTTACTGGAACGTGCGTATGTTTATGCATGTCTCGTGTCTGTGGCTTTCTTCGGTTCTGGATCGGATATTTGGAATGCATGTAATGCACATGTAAATGAATCAAACTGAATGTTTAGGCTTTATATAAACACAACTTTCAGAATCTGAAATCGGATTCATTACGATCGACATGAAAATTAGTCCATTTACGTAGCCCTCAAACCGTATTCACTTTATAGCCCTTAATCCTGTAATTGTGGACAAATATGGCCACAGAGGACTCAGGTGGGATCCTAATTTTTATTTATTATAAATGTTAGATCACTGTCTTCGATAAAGTTTTGTCTATCCATTTATGGTGTTTTTATTTTATTTTGGGGGTAATTTTTAATTTATTTACTTTAAAAAGTACCATATTTTCGATGTAAATTATGCTTATTTTTTATGTTTTATTTTTTTAAATTTTTTTTAACTACATTAAAATATCATTCCAATAAGTTCTTTAGCAAAAACCTAAAGATGAAGTGACTTTGCCGTCACCTGGTGTCTTATTTTGGCTTATTTTACAGTTTTTCCCATTCATTTCTATGGGTGCCCATTTTCGACCCAAATACAAGATTAAGGAGGGGTTTTTTCACTCACTTAACATTGTAAAATTGAGTCAAAAAAAAAAAAGTGTGTGTGTTCAGGAGGCAAATTTAGGAAAAGTAGCCAAGTCTTGTACCGCTCAGATCAAGGGAAGTATTTTTTTAAAATAAATCAAAACTATTTTGCCCACATTTGTCCAGAATACGGTTTTAGGGCTAATCTGATCTAAACATTTGGAATCTTTTTGGCTTAAAAAGGTTTTGTTGATCAAGTCGTCCAAACTTACCAGAGGATGGGGTCGTTTGCTAGTTCACTAAATCGTTTACACACACAAGCCGCTCGGCAAAGGTCCTGCTCCAACAGATAGGAGAAGATTTTTAGGACCACCTCGTCTGGAAGCTTCACCTGCAGATACTGCTCCGCTGGGGTGACTGGGACACAAGAGAACTGGCGTTAATGAAAAGACATGACGCTGATATATCACTGCATTTCAAATCTGATGTCCATTACCAGGCAAATCTAGTGATTTTCCCGACACTCTGGCACGTTTTGCCCGATGCCCAAAGTTTTCTGTTGTTGATGTGGAAGCACCCTTTGAATAAGAAGAGTTTTCACCTGTTAGTTACAGCACATACAAAACACATTCATGCTGTTTTTTTTTATTTTATGCATGTAGGAACCTATCATTTCAGCAATGCAGAAAACCCAAAGGGAGTCGCAGAATCCAGTCTTAAAATTTTAATTTACAGTACAATGTGGAATGTCAAGGAATCTGGCAAATTTTGGATGAATTAATCAAAAGTAGGGCTGTACAATTAAATCACGATACGGACTAGAGTTTGTGAATATTAAAGCGTGAAAATAAATACATTCCACATTGCACATTCTTTAAAAAAATTAAATAAAAAATTTATTAATTCAATTAGTTCATTTTTCTGATTGTGTTTTAATGGTTTAAATGTTAAGAATTTCAGAAAAAAAATAAAACCAAATTTGAGAAAAGAAATTCAGGTCCTTAAAAATATATATTTTTTTTTACTTTAAATAAATTTATGTTAAATTGTACAAGTTTTATTATTTAAATTAATTAGACATGCTTTTTAATATAATTTTAAAAAATATAATAAAATGGGTAAAATGAAATTTGGGGGAAAAATAAAACAAACAATTTCATAGGGCCCTGTGCACTAAAACTGCCTAAATTAATATTGCAGCCAATCTTTAAGCACACTACACTTCTAATCTCAAACGCTTCCTGACATGATACGTTGATGCTGAGCAGCATTTACGCACCTCCATGTTGGTCTTTGTTGGACAAGCTGTTCTCTTCGGTAACAGAGATTTTCTTCGAAGTTGGTACGGACTATTTTGAGCGCCTTGACCAGATTCTTCTGCAACCATCTCGGCAGGATCTGCCTCATCTGGAAGAAAAAAAATGTTAAATTACATTTAACAAACACCAAGCGTTTAAAAAATAAATAAAAAAAGTTTCAAGCAAACACATAAAGTGGGAATTCATCCACATACACACATCTCTAACTGAAACGTCTCAGATCTTAGATAGACAAATTTGCAAATATTATTTTTAATAACATTTCTGGACAGAAGCCCCAGCGGCATTTAATTCCAACTAACTATGTCTTCTATATAGTATGCAAATTACCATATAGATCATCCCATGTAATAATAAAGCACTAAAGATTCAGTGGGGGAAAATATGCATCAAAAAAAAGACATTCTCCCACCAATAAATAGTCTCGTCAACGTACTTTTCACACTCTTTCTGAACCATGGGAGGACAATGATCACTTACAGCCAGGATAATAAACATGCACAATCCCAAAGGCTGTTCCACACATTACGAAGAGCAGTTGTGTTCCTTCACTGGTATAATATCGTCATTAGGAATAACAAAAAAACTGCATCCACTCTACTAAATCAATTCCTGGTGTCTGGCCTCAATCCTCCAGACCAGAGTGTGTTTCCTCAACCAACTCAAACACATCCAAGTCAACATATGTTGAATGTATAATCAATATTTGCATAATTGTTTTAACAAACATCCAAAGTGTCAGTGAAATTGGTGATCGCAGCTCAAACAATAGCAATTATGATTATGACAATTTTGTGTCTTGCTAAGGGACACATTGGTGTCTCACAGTGGATTCGAACTAGGGGTGTGCGATATGACGATTTTTAATCGTGGACGATTAAAATGTCTCCACGATCTGCTTTTGAAGAAATATCGTAGTATCGTATTACAGTGCATTCTATCAGTTCAGTTCTGGCGCCTCCGTCTCTCAACTGTACAACGTGACGTAGTAGCCTACACATGATCACACGTTAATGAATAGGTACGGGACACTGCAATTCACAAAAGTTCATTATTTGCATAAGCCTTGCCGGTTAAACATTTAATTCACGCGCTGATGCGCTGTTCTAACGTGCGCTTTCCTGACCGCATAACCCCCGACGCTCACGTGCACTAGAAGCCTGTCAAACAGCGCCTGAATACTGGACTAAGTTATCCTTCGAGTCTTATTATGCTAATACTGTTAAATACACACAAACACAATGTTTACATAAACAGGCTACGTCTAAAGTGAAAGCAAACATTTGAGAGAATATCTGGTGTAATATGCGTCTATATTAAACGCGTCGCGTGCTGGTCTAAAAGCGACAGGAATAAATACTGCCGCTTGTCCTTAAAGGGATAGTTCACAAAAAAAAATAAAAAATCCGTCATTATTTACTCACTCTAATGTTGTTCCAAACTAGGGATGCACCGAATATTCGGCCACCGAAAATTTTCGGCCGAAAATGGCCCAAAAGTGCATTTTCGGTTTTCGGCCGAAAGACTTTTATCACCGAAACAATACGGCCGAAATGTTGTGATGACGCAAACAGAAACCGCGACCTGCACGTGCTTGTCTGAAGCAACATGTTTGCGGTGCGGACGTATTTCAGTGAATCTGAACCCGCGAGGAGACGGAAGCCTTGTTTATCCACCTATATCTGCTCTAAACAATGCGCGCCGCCATGACAACGACTCCGGATGCGAGCGGGTCAAGTAACTGTGGAGACTCGCGCTGCGGAGGCAGGCGAAAGTATGCGCAAGTCTCCTCAGACAGCGCGCACACCGCTCCAAACGGTCGAGGCGTTTTACTGGACCCGCTCTCCGTTGTACTATTCCTTGAAACGACAGGGGACGACTCAAGTAACTAGGTAATTAGGTAATTAGGAATCGGTGAGAAGAAGACAGATAAACACATGACAATGTTTATTTTTTAGTATACCACCACCAATACAAAAATAATCATGTAAAACCCAGTAAACCCTGAGATTATTACTTGTGACATTACAAAAAATATATATATGGGAACATGTATGTATAGAACTAAATGCTCTCTTAAATATTTTCTACATTCACTAAACATGTTTTGTTAAGTTTCATGTACATTTGTATTAATCATGGACCTTTGTTCATTTAAAAAGGCTTTTTATGCTATTGTATGCTACATTTTTAAAATGTAAGAAACTAATTTAGACGTGCAAAGGGTGCTGGTGTGATGAGAAGAAGTTTGCACTCGGCTTTGTTTTTGAGAGAACATTTAATTTTAAAACCTTTCTGCAGGCCATTAGATTATTATTTAATGTACACATGAGTGGGGTCAAAAACATTTTAGTTTGAATTTTATTTTATACTGTGCATTGTGCTAAATAAATATTTGCATAATTTGTAATTTATTTATTTATATTAATTTATGCAATTGCAATGCCTTGATTTTAGTAACGTTTGTACACAGTCATAGCCATAAATGCAATGATACTGATAATTGGCATAATTTCTTTCGGTGTTTCGGTTTTCGGTTTTCGGCCTTGGTTTCCTCTTTTTCGGTTTTCGGTTTCGGCCAAGAATTTTCATTTCGGTGCATCCCTATTCCAAACCTGTATTAATTTCTTTCTTGTGCTGAACACAAAAGACATTTTTTTTTAATGTGGGTAACCAAACAGTTGCTGGTCCCCATTCACTTCCAGGAGAGAACCTATAAAAAAAAAACTATAAGGGGACCAGCAAATGTTACCCACATTATTCAAAATAACTTTTATTTTCAACAGAAGAAAGAAACTTAATCGGGTTTAAAACATCTCGAGAGAGTAAATTAAGACAATTTTCATTTTTGAGGGAACTATCCCTTTAGTGTTAATAAAAAAATAAAATAAAAAAAACACAAGGAGAAAATCACTCACTGACTGAGAACTTTAATATAGCTTTAATAAGAATCAATAATTTATACAGTGAAGTCTATGTAGTGTTTTAATTTCATATTTGTCCATTTAATTACTTCAATGCTACTGCTAAATACACCTACTGCATCAGAAAAAATAAAGCACTATTTATTTAATATAAATATTAATTTGTGTAATGTTTATCTTGTCTTATTTTTTTAATAACAAAGAAAATAATGACAAAGATTTTTATCTTCGCCAATGGCCTAAATGTATGCCTTTGATACCCAAGGCTTTGTTTTTAACATAGGGACATAAGTTTGGCTGTAATGAACAGCCACTTGCAAAATATTAAAACCAACTTGAAAAAGAATCGTGATAAAAAATCGTGATCGTGATTTTCCTAAAAAAATCGTGATATGATATTTTTTCCATATCGCCCACCCCTAATTCGAACCCGGGTCTCTCACACCAAAGGCATGTGTCCTATCCACTGCGCCATCACCATCCAATAGCAACTTTAATAATTTAAGCCGAATGAAAGATTAAGGACACGGCAGTCCTCGTCCTGATGCACTTCCAGAGATAAACGCTCAGATCAGCAAAAGGTGGAACAACTTGGACTTAATGACATAATGAAATCATATTGCTCATTTCTTGAACTGGGCAAATGTCTATTGTCCATCTATGTATGAACTGATTGTTTGTTCTTTACTGTTATCGTGAAGCATCCTTGAACTTGGGAAAGCCGCTATATAAATTAAACATATATTATTATTATATCAAGGCACTGTACGACACGCTTGTAAGACTGTGCCAAAACAGTTGGAAACAGTGAAGGAAAGCAGCAGAGAGGCCGTGACCCGAGGCACAAGGAAAAACACAAGGCTGATCTCCTCGGCAGCTGTAGCAAGCGGAGCAGGTGACGCCGCACGCGGGTCACGAGAGACTGAAGTTGAACGGGCCGACAATAACACCCGTCCGGGGGGGGGGTTAGCCGTGTGGCATCCCTTTGATGACATGAAACCAGAGACAAGCGCCGTCCGAACACACACCGTATTTCCTCACCAGACTCCAGCGACTCAAACGCCACCTCAAATAGAAACGTCAGATTCATGTCAGAGAATGCTAATAGAACACAAAAGCCACGGTTTTATTTCGGCAACATTATCATCACACAGCGATATTTGCCAAGTTACTAAAATAAATATGGTGATCTAAATATTTTTTAAGTCTGGCCGACTCAAAGAAATGTGGAGATTAGGGGTGGCACGGTACATGAAAAAACACCCGAACCGTTCGGTTCGCTTGTCTCGGTTAAAGATTAAAAGAAAAAAATAACAAGAACCGTACAGAACCGAAAACCGTGACACTAAAACCGTGATACAAACCGAACCGTTGGTTTCGTGAACCGTGCCACCCCTAGTGGAGATGTACTTCACATTTAAACAGCATCTTATGCTGCTACCTTCTTGGTTAGGAGGAAAAATGCTATGAGGACCAAATTTTGTGCTGATGATCAATCATATGACGTGTAACATGCCGCATACACCATTTGCCAGCTTTGTCATGTTTCTGAGAAGCACCACTGATCAGTAGAAACCATTGATTACCTGAAGTTTACAAGCCACATGTTGTGCATTTTTACAAACTATATATATATATATATATATCGACCGATATATCGGTTATCGGCTTTCAAATATAAAGAATTATCGTTATCGGCCAAAATTTTCATATATATTAGGGATGCACCGATATGAAAATTTTGGCCGATACCAATAATTCTTTATATTTGAAAGCCGATAACCGATATATCGGTCGAAATTTTCATACCAAAATTTTCATATCGGTGCATCCCTAATATATATATATATATATATATATATATATTAGGGATGCACCGATATGAAAATTTTGGCCGATACCGATAATTCTTTAAATTTGAAAGCCGATAACCGATATATCGGTCGAAATTTTCATACCAAAATTTTCATATCGGTGCATCCCTAATATATATATATATATATATATATATTAGGGATGCACCGATATGAAAATTTTGGCCGATACCGATAATTCTTTATATTTGAAAGCCGATAACCGATATATCGGTAGATAAATTTAAATCCAAATTTTTGTATAATTTTGAGAGCCTTATTACAAAAACAAGTCTCACAATTAAACCATTTCCCAAGCGCACAATTATAATGATGTTCTCATTTTAGTGTTATGTAGCCGATATGACAGATTTGCATTGCACATGTTGTACCAATCTGTATTTTCATATTTTGAAGAGATTTCAATCATATTTCAAGAAATTCAAAAACATAAACAGTTCTCAACACGTGTCTCAGCTGAAGGGAATAATACATTATTTATCGGCTTTAAAGGACAACTCCGGCGCAAAATGAACCTTTGGTCTAATTACACATTGTTACCTAGTCAACCGTTATCTGAGATTTTTTTTCATGATTGCCGAATCTAAATAGTTTTATCTATTAAAACAGTTTAGCCTATAATGCTAGTATAACGCTAGTCTATAGGGCATAGAGTAATGACAAATAAAATTCGCTTTTTATTACCACTAACAAGGCTCAAAATAGCCCCACACTAACACGGTAGCACAATAAGGATCCCTGTATGCAAAACGAAGCATTGAGAACTTTGTCAGTGTCCATACAGTTTAATAAGAAGATATTTTATACACACAGTCAACTTCACGAATACAGGAAGAAGCCATCTTTAAAATATAGTCTCTACCAGTCGATCAACGAACGCTGATCCAAGTGCGCTGAACTGTGCAGAATCTTATATGGTCCATTGTTTCCGGAAGAAACACAAACACGAACCATTTTCTTCTCTTTAAGATGTACATGTTGCCTACTGTTCGCGCTCACATTATCACTTTATTCACATCTCACCAGCGCACTTGGATCGGCGTTCGTAGATCGACTGGTAGAGACTATTTTTCAAAGATGGCTTCTTCCTGTATTCGTGAAGTTGACTGTGTGTATAAAATATCTTCTTATTAAACGGTATGGACACTGACAAAGTTCTCAATGCTTCGGTTTGAATGTATGGATCCTTATTGTGCTACCGTGTTACTGTGGGGCTATTTTGAGCCTTGTTAGTGGTAATAAAAAGCGCTTTTTATTTGTCATTACTCTATGCCCTATAGACTAGCATTATACTAGCGTTATAGGCTAAACTGTTTTTATAGATAAAACTATTTACATTCGGCAATCATGAAAAAAAATCTCAGATAACGGTTGACTAGGTAACAATGTGTAATTAGACCAAAGGTTCATTTTGCGCCGGAGTTGTCCTTTAATATATCGGCCACATTTTCTTACCAGGCCGATAACGATAACATTAAAAACGAACATATATCGGCCGACACCGATATGGTGGCCGATATATCGTGCATCCCTAATATATATATATATTTTTTTCTTTTTTAGGGCTGTCAAACGGTTAATCGCATCCAAAATAAAAGTTTGTGTTTACATAATATATGTGGGTGCACTGTATAGCCTACTAATTACTTTACCCCACCTCTCCACGTTAAACTAGTCCAGTCCAAATAGGGCTTAATAAAGATCTCTTTCTGTTCCCCCCAAAAGCACGAAAGTCAGAGTTTTGGTGCAGTATTTTTGGGTGAACTAGTCCTTTAATTGTCCAAATGCTCAGATAAGGCTTCATAATTGATGGGATCTCTAAAGGCCACATCTGACAATACTCTCACTCGCAACAGCACAATATTGCAGTAATATTCTCAATGGTCATTGCTATGGTAACCAGGTCATATACAGGACAGCATCTCCACAGGCGTGTCTGTTAATTCTTCATTTCTAGCATTGACTCGTACACTGTACAAAAACGAGTAAAGTCAAATGAAACTGCAAAACAACTGCTTGTAAAACGAAAACGAAACTTGTAATGTCGATTATACAGTTTATTTAACTGACATTTTGTTCATGATGACCGTCACTGATTTCTAAGCGAATAGTAACACAGTGAATTACCACCCAGAACATACAACAACCTCAGTGGCAAAGTCTGTTAGCACAGATTTGCATCACATCACCACATAATGCATTTCTAAATTTGCACTGTCGATTGCCAAGTTCAGTTTTCAGCTCTAAGTGCATTTAGACAATAAACATGCTGTTTAACTATCAGCTATTAGCAAACAAATACAACAGCGAGCCACATTTGTAACTCAATACACTGAGATGAGCGTCAGGAGTCGGGACAAAGGTTAAAGATTGAGGTGCAAAGCGTTTCACTCAAATTTAGCATCATTCTCATCAATAACATCAAGACAATCTGACATCTCAAATCTGTAGCGAACAACCCTAGAGCCAATCAAGACAGCTCTGGCAGTATCCATACACTATGAGACTATATAAATGAAAATACACAACAAATAGGTTCAGGTAGAGCAAGAATGGACACTTAAAGGAGTAGTTCACTTTTAAAAAAAACTTTTGCTGATAATTTACTCACCCCCATGTCATCCAAGATGTCCATGTCTTTCTTTCTTCAGTCGAAAAGAAATTAAGGTTTTTGATGAAAACATTCCAGGATTTTTCACCATATAATGGACTTCAATGGGGTCCAAACAGTTCAAGGTCCAAATGAGAGTTTCAGTGCAGCTTCAAAGGGCTTTAAATGACACCAGACGATGAATAAGGGTCTTATCTAGCGAAACCATTGCTCATTTCAAAAATAAATATTACGTTTTATAAGCTCAAATGGTCGCCTTACTCTGTTCTGTGATGTGCGTTCGTGACTCTCCTGTTTGAACTTGTTCATCAAAATGAACAAATCTTTTTTCGTGTCATTTGGTTCATTCAAGATTTGTTCACTTTAATGAACGAGTTCGAACAGGAGAGTCACGAACGCATCACAGAACAGAGCAAGGCGTCCATTTGTGCTTATAAAACTTAAACTTTGTTCTTTGTTTTGTTGTTACATGAGCGATCGTTTCGAACAGTTTGCAGTTTGCACTGAAACTGTCTTTTGGACCTTGAACCGTTTGGTTCCCATTGAAGTCCATTATATGGAGAAAAATCCTGGAATATTTTCATCAAAAACTTAATTTCTTTTCGACTAAAGAAAGAAAGACATGGACATCTTGAATGACATGGGGGTGAGTAAAATATCAGCAAAAGTTTTTTTTTCTAAAGTGAACTACTCCTTTAAAGCGATACTAATATACATCTCAAGAGATTGAAACTGCTGATTTAAATTCAGTGTGGTTAAAGGTAAAAGTCACAGTCATCCAAACGCCACATTTCAAATTAGCATCAATATTACCACAAGACTGCCGCCAAACACATGCTCAGCTGTAACACGACACGCTCTTTATTATACTACCAAGCATGTTGTGTGTGTGGGGAGGGGAGGTTTTTATTAATAAAGCATTATAATCTGTAGTAAGTCTAGTTTACCTTCAGGTGAGTTGAATGCCATTCAGCACGGAGGATCATCCGTGAGTGAGAATCCTGCAAACGCAGCGCTGTTGCTCTGGTTGCACCGGGGGCTCTCCAGGGCTACTAGTCCAGTAACCACTACAAACACGGTGTCCCACCAACTAGTTCAACACAACAGACAGCATGTTGTCTCCAAACAAAGGTGATCCAGAATTTTCCTTTTTTTCTAATTGTGGAAATGTTATTATTGAAAGAAGCGCGTAATATTATGCAACTCATACTGAGCAGTGTCCTGCAAGCGTCTAAGAAGTTTAAAACAGCCTTTTTATCATTAGACTGTAAAGTTAATTAAGAGACTACAATGTAATAATGCACATGTAAGAGTTTTATGCAAAAGAGCTAAAGAAATTATTCAGATTTCCCACATTTAAATGTATTAAAGGTGCACTATGTAAATTTTAATGTTGAAAATACATTTTTACAATACATGCCAGAATTTTTATTAGTATCGGCGGCATTTCCGATACTAGTAACTCGATTCAAACACCATCGCGATCTTCTTGCATTTCGTCTGTCTATTAAACCTTTGACAAAAAAGAATAGAATCTAATGCCATTCTGATTTGTTCGTTTCTTATGAATGCATAAAAGTGACCAGTTGGATATAAACTAATGCAAATAGATGGTAACATTTGCATTATTAAACATTTGGGTCAGGTTTACGTGTATTTGTCAAATTGTTTTAAGCACTTCATGACTACTTAGAGCTTTTCTGTCTCTGCTAAAGCAGCATCTCAACAAATTAATTACTTTATAATGAAATGGCAACATGGACTGTAGTGTTGTGTATTCAAACCGTTTCGCTGTCAGTGTTTTAAATGCGTATCAGAAGTGTCAGCGCTCTCCGTGCTGCATGTTACAACAGCCTCACGTTACAATAACCAAAACGCGGTGCCAGTGATAGTTATTAAATGTCCTCTAGAGGCCGCTCTCGCTCTGTGTAATGCCAGAAGTCTCTTCTCAGCGCTCTGATACTGTGTAATGACACCATAGCTAGTCTTCTCAGCCGTTCCAGCAACAGACGCAACCCGGAAAAACTATCGTATGGTTTTGCCGATAACAATAGTTCCACTATCGGTAGGGCTGGGCGATAAAACGATAACGATAATTATCGCGATATAATTTTTCTCGATATAACGATATCAAGAGGTCGATAAATGTTCGATAATGTTAATGCGCCAAAAGCGGAACGAAACTCATTTGAACCGCGCACGCCACACGGAGCATTTATCCGCTCGGCTCAAAGTCCAAACGGCAGTGAGCGCAGCGCGAGCTCGCTAGAGCAGACGCGATTGCTTTGATCATCTCGCTCAAGACATCCAGCGAGAAGCGCTTGAGTTCAGCGAAGAACACAGATGTCAAGTTTAAACCAGTTTAGGGCAGATAAAACACCGCTGACAAAAAGGAGAAACACTGCGTGCAACGATCCAGTCAGAATCTAAATTGATACTGAATCCATTTAGCCTACCATGGATTTACTGTAAGGTTAGCCAAGTAATATTAACTGCACCATGAATGTGGGATATACATATTTAATGGTATAATATTTTTAATGTAGACAATTCATTAAATGTCTTATGGAATATAAGTACATCATTTAATAATGTATTTAACTGTTAGGCCACTGTTTTCATACAAATACCACAGAAACCATAAAGTTACATTTTGCCATGATAGTGAGGTGCTAAGTTATAGGCTATTCCTGGTTTTATCTGTGGTTATCATCTAAATGCATGAGACTGGATGACCAATGGTTAATTTTAATACAACTCAGTCAGAATATTACATTTTACCAAATAAAAATGTGGTCGTTACATTAAAAAAAAAAAACCCCCAAAAAACAGATGTTACTGTTTTTGTTAATGAACATAAATTTAACATTAGCTTAGTATTAGCTTGAGTTAGGATGCAGATTTATTGTCAACTCACTATCAAATATGCATTTTGAGATAAAACATATTTAAAAAAATTTCATATAATTTTAATATTGCAGCCTGCACTGCAAACTGTGCTGAAGAAATATTTTTCTATTGAGATATTTATTTTAAGGAAAAATGTTTGAATGTTCTACCTCATAAATGTTCACCTGTTTGGCAACTGTTTGTCATGATATGTTCTGACAATGAAGAGTAGTTTAAAACCACAATTTACGCTCTGGTTAATACAACTTTCACTTAGGAGCAAAAATCTGCCTTTAAACTTGAAAGAAATAAAGATTTGACATATATCGTGATAATTATCGATATCGACTGATATAAAAAAATTATCGTGATAATTTTTTTTGGCCATATCGCCCAGCCCTAACTATCGGTACCAATATATCGGCAAACCCGATGAATCGGTCGACATCTAGTAAGAAGAACCTTATTAATCCGCACACTCACGCAGAGCCGAAGCACAACCAAAACAATATTCTTGAGTAAAATGCATGCAGTTTTTTTTTAACCACGTAAAGGCCAAATGTTACATAGTGTAGGCAACTTCACATAATCAGTGCTGAAAAAGTGCGGAAAAAAAATAATGCACAGGTTATAAGACTAGACATAAAATCTCACACAAAGCTAGCCAAATTTTGGCCAATTCGAATGCAAATTTGAATTTTACCAAAATATTTTTGCAACATATTATCATTTAAACCCATTCATCCAAAAACAGAAGAAGAAAAAAAAGAGAAACCTAGTAAATCCCACTTAAACGACACACTAAAAGAGCTTCTATTTCTTGAGAAAGTCTCACACTGGGAGTACGCCTGACCGACAGCATGTTAAGCTTCACTGAATAATAGCGTTTAAACAATATGTAATGTCTGAATCACAATACTGGATTGCCCCACCTTTCATTAATATTCTTTTCAGACTATAGCCACTAAACTTCAAAGACATACATGACCCCCTACAGGACACGCATGAATAGATGTAGAATGGGGTTTAGATGTTATCAGCTCAAGTGATTTGACTGAATGAAGCTTGTGAGCTTCACTGGTCCATTACAGCATTAGTTCATCAGCAAACTAATTTTTACTACAAGTTTGTGTGGAAATTAACATTATTGAGAAACATTTACATCATTTATGCATTTGGCAGATCCAAAGAGACTTGCATTGCATTGCTTTGCAGTTATAAATTGTATTCATGCATTCCCTAGGAATCAAACCCATGATCTTGCTAGTGCACAATAGTATAAATACATAAGATTACCACTGGGAAACAGAAGAAACATCTAACTGGTAGTTACAAAGCCCCTGGTGTGAACTTCATCTCCCAAATTTAAGCAAGAACTCGACTTGTAAACCTTGCTGTCGCTAAACACCACACACACCCTCTAAGTTACGTGTAACTCTCAGTCCAATCTGGCCCATCCTGTTTGAAAGCTCTGCAGTTTGACCCAGTTTTCGTAAGAAAGATACATTCCAGCTTATTTCCAAACATTACCTTGAGGTGCCCCAGTGGAGCCGACCACATAAAACTACCGTAACACTTCCTGTTGCATCAATCCTATAATTTACAAACCCTGAAGATGCGTCCGGGGCGAACTGCAGCACACCACAAATGCAATAAACACATCTGACAAAAAGAAAGCATACATCCTGGAGTATTATATTACCACGACAGTAAATTTAGTTTTCTGGAAGCTGAAGCACCTGCTATTGATCATCTCAGTGTTTCGGATTATGGTGATAAGATATGGGAATTATGGGACATTAGGACTAAGCTACATTATATATAATGCCAACTGTTGCCACATTTATAGGAGATTCTGCTAATGTGGAGGAAAATGGGCAAACGTAGGACAAACTAGGTCTGCAAAAAATTGTTTAATAAAATTATGTTATTATGGCTGGATATTGCCACAAATTTTACAATTTGATTTGATTTCAATCCACAACCTTGAGATTTGTCAATTCTGATTAGAGCCCGACCGATAAAGGATTTTGAAGGCCGATACCGATACAAATATTTTTTGGTTTTAAAATCCGATATATCGGCCGATATTTTTTATTTTTTTATTTCAGAAACGCGCAACAAAACATTAACAGATTTCCTTAAAATTTTTAGTTATTTATAAATTTTAACTAAAATAATATGATAATGCATTTTAAAAAGAAACTTGTTTCTTTTATTGTCACAACAGAACAGACTGATGATATTGGCAATAGCTAGCTATGGTTAGCTAGTCAATGAGTGTTTAGCTTGCCGACAGGAACGGTGTAGAGTGCCCTCTGGTGGACAAACTATACAACTCCAACACTCATGACATGGTTCAAGCGTGTTTCGTCCGTTTTTATATTATCTTTTAAATATTAATTTATCGGCCATTATAACTGCCGATACCGATAGTATGGAAAATGCCTAATATCGGCCTACCGATATATCGGTCTGGCTCTAATTCTGATTTCGGTTCAATTCAATATTGATTCTTTTGGATATATACAAGTAAAGTAAAGTACAAGGCAAATTTTCTCAATGGAAAAAAAATCCCTCTAAAATGCTGTAAACTATACAGGGAACCCTGCTGGTACATTACTATAATATTAATGCTTAAAAATAACTTTAGGGGTCAAACGGATCGTTGTTGATCCGTGATTCGTACGGACCATGCCCCACGGTTCGGCATGCTTGTGATCAATTGATGGTTCGCAAAGCCATTATCATTATATTGGGTCCGTGCATTCGGTCTTAAAGTGACAGCAGCCTATAAATACCTGATGTTATCAGTCATTAATGTTAATCAATCAAGAAAACACAGCTTTAACAAAGATTAATCTATAATAAATGTATAAAGTGAACAGAATTTTTACATTTAATTACATTTCTGTACCCAAAAATGAATAGTAAGACATAACTTTATTTGTAACTTTGTTATATTGCATTTATTCATACTTGTAATTGCTGTTTTAGTTCTAATCTAATCGAATTCTGTGTATGGCTTTATAATGCATAGCAGATTAGCCAAGAATATGAACGCAACATGCATAGTTTTCCACTTTCTTCCAATAAAGAAAACACTTAACATGCAATTTAGCTTGTCGTGTTCATAAGTGTTCATAACTGCTCGCCCGTATCCGCAGTGTTTCGATTGACAAATAGCCACACACACTCACAAATCCTTTCATTATAACCAACAAAGTGTAAACACAATGTAAATAAGAGAATCGTTGTACAATTAAGACAGCTGTTTTCATTATAATGGAAGTTTTTGAGAGTGTGCATAATTCAGTGATCTTGTGCTTTAGAGATTGACAGCCTTAATGATTTTAAAGTGCTTTTAAACAGTGCTTCTGTTTATTACCCATTCACAATCTGAATACCAGTTTCGTTTTTCATGATGCCAAGTACACTGCAAAGCTCCTGGATTGAAAACCGTATTTACATGCACGACCGAATCGGAAATTGCGACGATTGGACAAGACTGAAGAAAAAAAGGAAGTACTTTATTGTTCTAGTCCTGCAATTGGTACAATTTTACTGATATTGGTACAGAGTGACTACTGAAATTTTGGTACTGTGACAACCCTACCTAGAGAATTTATATAGTCACAAAAACAATCAGATTGCAAATAGTTGCCACATTTTAGGGAACACTTGACTAAATGGGAAAATATGACAACTGTTCTGTACTGTAAATATGAAACGACATTCTCATCTTAAAAATGTAGCTGTCCACCTCAACAACTGCATGAAGGAGGCCGTTTAAACCATGTGTTCAATGCAACACCTGTCTTACAACCTTGATTACAGAAAATTCCCATTAGCTGACAGCAGCCATTCATTCATGTGCTGAAACCATCCTTCAATTTCAATCTCACTCGAGTCCCATGACTCTAATTAGAAGTTAAGATGTGGTTAGTACAAACAGCTCTCCAGTTTGATTGCCTGAATCCCAAAACAAGGTGTCCTGCTGTTAGATTTGCATAGCAAATTACCAAACTATTACAGCTACTGGACTGGGTGGCCAAAAGGACTAGAGGTGCATCAGAGTTTGGACAACCTTTGAAAACATTTGGATGGTTAAACAACCATGGCATTTAATCTGTAATAACCATAAAATAACCCATCAATGACTACATGTATGAAACGCATATGATCAACACTGTTTATTAGAAAGGTTCATGACCCAACTGTCAACACCAGAGCCATGCCAGTCAAACAAAACTGTTAACTAGTCATTACAACTCATCAACAAGCCAATCAACCCCCAACAACAATAAACATGTTAATGAGGGCATCAAGTTTACAACATCCAGCACAGCTGACTAATTAAACCATGGGAAAAAAGTAAGCAGGAAGCCCTCGCAAAAAAAGTAATACAATGTTTTAGGACATAAACTTTGGTGTTCTTGGAAGTACTTTGTGTATCCTATATGTATATGGTAATGCCACAGTACTTTTTTGTAAGTGCATGGTACTCATAGTTTACATATACTTCAAAGAATACCATGGTACAACCATGACACTAGTTCAAAAACAAATGACCATGGTAAATATCCAAAATATAGCAGTAGTGTTGAACTCTGATACAAATTGAGTACTGTAATGGAATCATTGAGCTTTGATGGTATAATATATATACTATGGGCTATGGCACACTTAATAAATACCATGATATTTACATGAAACTCAAAGAACACCCCGGTAATACCATGGAACGTCCAAATAATGGATTGCTTACAAAAAGCCCCACAGATTGCCATTGTTTTTAGACATACTGTGGTAACTCAAAAGTTTCTTGGACACGTACAATGGTACAACCCTGGATTATCAAGTACCATGGTATTATCATTTGACACACCATCACTGACACTGTAGGCCTACCATGGTATTGCCACAGTACATCTTTGTAATGGAAATTACCATGGTGCAAGTGCAAACGCCATGGTGCATGGAAGTATATTACGGTACTGATAGAAAACACATTCATGTACACCAGTATTTACATACATCAGAAATACCATGGTAAAAACATGGTATTACCATGGTACTTCTGGTTATGTTAGGTGTATTCACTGCAAATGCCCGAATTAAAGAGTTTACGTTATAATCTAATAAATAATGGTGTGATAGTGGTATTTACTCAGGTTTGTGCATTATTTTGTTGGCTTAGCTGTTATGCTGCTAACAGCAGATGCTAACCATCACAGGGCTGCTAAACAACTGACCGCTGCCATTTCTCACAAATGTATAATCGTCAGTGCCACCATTTAGATTCATGCCAGATTTTAAATCACGACTGGTTCATTCTGAAAAGAACATTGTCAAAATGTACACGTTAAATGAGGTTTATAATAGACAGGAGAGCAAATCAAGCCCCGTTAAACAAAGCGCGGCCTGCGGGGGGATCAGAAGCCTCGGTGTTTCCTGACGAATGAACATTAAAACAAATAACCTCAAAATACAACATCATCACGCGAATGCTGCTGGAATCTACACAAGCCGTCTAAAAGAAGAGGGACTGGTGTGAATCAAGCCCAGCTTGGTGTTTGTTATAGATATATTCACCCCTTTCTGCGTTGTTTCTGTCCGGCGGTACCGGGCGCGGCCTCGACACTCGCCGGGGTCTGCGGTTAGTCGCTCTGACGGAGTTCATTTGACGGGTTTCTGGTTAAAACACACACCGCTGCAGCCCTTTCCTCTGTATCCTTACACTGTGCTGAGCTCGGGAAATGTAAATAAAAGTCTAAAGTGCATTGCACTGAGAATCTGCTTGGTCTAGGCTCCGCAGAAAAGGCTTTACTGTCCAGGAGCTACGGTCCGAGAGCTCCGATTTCGATTTTCAGTGGCAGGAGGAGCCATTTACACACACACTCTCACACACTCACACACACACACACTCACACACTCCCATAAACAACCACATGGCGCTGCACACCACCAATCACAGTACATTTTACCCGTGCAAAAAGTACCATGGTAATACCATTGTATTACCATAGTATATACTATAGTAAATACCATGAAAATGGTAGACTAAGCATTCATTACCATGGTGCCAACAATGTGCCATGATAGCAATGAGAATTTACACACCTACACAATGACACTGAAGTCTGTATATATACCAAAACATAAAATCATTGTAAGCCTACATGTCCAAAATACTACGTTAATCCAAAAAAAAAAAACACACACATAGTAGTGCCAGTAAGTTTTGTAATGTGGCAGAAACAGTGTACAGGTAAGTAATGGACAACTAAAGGTATTATATTATTTGTTATAATTAAAATATCAGTATTATATAGGCTAATATAATATTGATACACTATTTAGACTAGAGAGTTAGTTTGTTATAGTCAACAATGCAATGTCATGAGGTGCATCTTCATCCAATCCATATATTTCTATTTGTCTACAAAACTAGTTTTAGTAATCTTTAGAGGTCTTTCATAGCCTTCCATACTTAGTGCATGAACTAAAATAATCTGATGTCATTTTTCAGTCAATAAGAATCACCTTTGAATAATAAACCGTTGATGTAGGCTGGAGGTTTTTATGATTTTATATGAAAACAGTGGTCTGATTATGAAGACAAGCATGTTTTTGTTTGATTTTAACAAGCTGCGGCTGGTTACAAGGTCATTTTTATGACCTTGTGTGGTTCTCATTTTGGGCTGCATTTCCCAAAAGCATCGTGAGCTTAAGTATTGGTGCCAATGGTTTCAACATCGGCTTATGACGCAGATAGCAACACTGTGTCGGCCCAGACCCGGCCCACACCTGACAGGTGTGAAATGATGATCCGGCGCTCCGCTCCTGTTTGCCAGATCTAAAGCACATCGGGCCAAAGCAAAGCCATGTCAGCCAAGAACAAAGAAATCAACCAGAACCAGACAAATCTGAGCCACAAAATCTGTATGACGTAATCTCAGCTTTAAAAAGTGCCTGTTAACAATCAGAATCGCTGAAGGAACGAAGAGAACAGAAATAGAGACGAGCAGAAACACAGGAACTACTGACTTCCAGCCACAGCCTTAGATCAAATCAACTCCCAATAAAACACATTAAATCTCTCAAGATCTGATTCCAAAAACAGCATTACCAGCTTCACTCAATACAAACCAGTTTGACTTTATTAAGACTATAAGTTCTTATTGAGAATTAACAGGGGTTTAGATCTAGATAATGTTGATATTTATTGAAAATTATTCATTTGAAGTCACCATATGGTGATCAGCATATCTTTAGTTCAGCTCTTGACTCTTATATTTGTCTTATTTGACTGCTGTAATTGTGTGTTTATAAAACACATTTGCCACAGCAAAGAAAGAAGGAGAAAATGAGACCAGGTGATGTTTGCTGACTCTCGATTGAAATAATCTGATTGTCTGATTTTATCTCATCTCAAAAAGTGTTGTGCCTTTAACACATTTTGCACGACCAACTCTGTGATATTCCAGCCTGTGTTGCAGCAATCGGTTATTATGAGAGATTTTAGAAACAAAATTTCAAAATTAAACATTTTCAATAAACCATCAACATTATCTAAACCTAATCCCCTGTTAATTCTACACTCAAAAATTAACTACACAAAAATTCTACACAAAATGGACTAAGGTTGTGCACTTTAATACTTTCATATAATATATTTATATAGGCTACAGTTTACTTATAATAATTGTGTTTTTTGACTTGAAATGTTTGTTTTTTTTCTATTAAGGTATAGCAATTATGTTTCAATTTAACAGTACAAAATTCTAATGCGTTCGTTGTCTAAACACAAACGTGTACATTCAGGGGGTGGCAGTATAGTGCAAGCCGACTGCCTTTTTGCCCGAACTTAATTCTATTTTGTTCAATCTGCTTAAATATATGTACAACTTAAGTTTACTTAATCCGTTTGTGTTGAATTATACATGATTGATTTGTGTTGCATTAACTGAAACTGGGCAGTGCTTTTAGTTCCCAGCATGCTTTGCATATGGTTGAATTAAGAGAGAATTAATGTTAAAATTAAGTGTTATTTTAAGTTTTTTTGAGAAATTTAGAAAAGGGGAAGACTTGATAGTGTATAATAGTTTTTAATGTTAATTAACATTGTAATTATTAAACCATTTAAATTACAGTGGGTTACCATTGTGGAGAAGAGTGGAGCATTTGACTGATTTTATTATTTTATATCGCTTTAGATGAAAGAGCATGTAAACCTTAGCATTGAAAATGCTAATATGTGTTACTGTTAGCAAATAGCTAGCAAAAGTCTATCAATTTCATGAAATGTCACTGAATCAAATGAAAAATGAATGGATGATTGAATATAATAAAATACCTTTGAATCAAGTCAGGAAGCCTTTAAAAATTTGAGTCTACTTAAATTGGGTATTTTAAAAATTACTTGATTCCATTATGTTGAAGTTACATGAACAAATGTTTGTTTAACATAATCCAGTTATTTGGAACCTGTTGACGAAAAAAATTAATTAAAGACAACATATAATTTTTTTGAGTGTATATAAGAACTTTTGTAGTCTTATGACAAAAATAAAGTCAAACTCATAGTGAGTGAAGCTTGTAATGCTTATATGGAGTTTTGTACAGCAATCAGATATTTAAAATGTCCTTTATTTGCAGTTGATTTCTAGATTCAACAAGATTCTGTGTCTTGTTTTTGCTCGTCTCTTTTGGGGCTGGACCATCATTCAAATGAGACTGAGTGACAGGTGGCGGTGATGATGGAGATGAGACAGGGATGGAAGGAGAGCATCAATGACGGGAGTGATGGGAAGTGAAGTCCTAGAATTCAGGAGAGAGAGAGATCTGATGAGGCCAGGAGAGGGCGTCGTGGAGCGCATTGTGACATTAGTAAATTCAACTTCCTGTCACTCAGATTCAAATTCCAATAATCTGAAAAATAAGAGTCAATAACGCTGTCAATAACTGGAAGTTTGCTTTTAGATACTGTATTTCTATTTGCATTAGTTGTAAATAATTTTTCATTGTATGCTGCTTGAATTTATTTTAACTGTCTTTAACAACACTCTTAGAAGAAAAGGTTCTATATAGAACCTTAAAAGGTTCTATCAGCGCTACATATTTGGAACCCCTAAAAGGTTCTATACACTCTTAAAAAAGGGTTCCTCTGGGTTCTGTAATCTGTATAGAACCCTGGGGTTCCATACATGGCCAATAGAACCTTTTACCCCAAAAAAATGGTTCTATATAGAACAATTGGGAATTTAGCACAACCCCTGTGTTTAGAAACAAAATGACAGATTGCTAATGGTAATTTTATTATTCATACATTATTAAATATTAATGTTGCAGTCATTTGTGCCCCCTTTGCACAGCAAGTGATAGTATACTAAGCAGTCATTTACAATCACAAAATAAATCATACGTTTTGAGAGAAATTAATAATACATGGGCCTTCATTTAAACAATATGTCTGTTGATGATTGAACTTGATCAAAAACAAATTGATGACGCGTTTAAATAACATTATTTATGGCACAGAACTAAATGTTTGGCCTGAGTGTGTTTTCACAATCAATCAATCAATCAATCAATCAATCAATCAATCAATCATGTTAGTTAGTGATAGTGATGCAAGTAACATTATAAACAACATAAATAAAAATATATTAGTTACTCTAAGAATGTTTAATGATAACCACATACCAAAAAAAAAAAAAAAATAATTCAATAATCAAAGACGAAAATAGCTATTACAGATGCTATTTCTGACCTTGTAAATTGGCATGTTGTTCTATAGTTTGGCCACTAGATGTCACTGGACATCACTCTATTACAACACACTGACTAGATAATAATGCCCATATACTGTAGATGTGCTTTCTAAGCTGTTATGTGTGGTTTCTTGGCACCAGTAGAGTTCAAGACTTCAGATATATTCTGGTTGCAGACTCTAATAGCCTATTGTTCTGTCCTCATCAGATGAAAGTGTTGTCCATATCTACAATTGTTGAAGATTCATTCATTATCATCTTATAGAAACTGTGTGTGTGACTTCACAGTAATGAAATCTAAAATCCCTCATAATTACTGAGTGCTGGATCACATGTGGAAATATCACAGAGTTGGTCATGCAACGTGTATTAATGGCACAACACTCTATTGATCAGTTTTTAAGATAGGATGAAATCAGAGAATCCGATTATTTCATGATGATTATATTTCGAGCAATAGTCAGCAAACTCATTTTCTCCTCCTTTCTTTACTGTGGCAAAGAAATGTAGAGGTTTTATATTCAAGTGTTCCTCAAATATGGGGCAGTAAAAACAAATAAAAAAAATATGCAAAAATTTGCTAAATTTAAGCCCATGTAGTCGTAAAACTTTTTGAGTTTCCTTTTTTTTTTTCTTACAATGTTTTAAAAATGGGAACGTTACTTTTGAACTTTCTCTGAATACACTGAAACAATTAACATTTAAAAAAACAAACAAAAAAAGTTCTATGAACAATGTATAATACTTGTTGTGAGAACATTATTAAAGACCAGATTAAGCATTCTATAGGAAAAGCGTTGCCATAATGTGTCTGAGAACATAGAATAATTCTAAACTTGTGCACATAATATATCAGCTGATCATTGGATCAAATATTGAATCTACTCCACAATATGAAGGCAACAATTAGTGTTTTATGCCCAAATGTGTAGGCCTACCTACTGTCAGAGAATATTGTTGTCCTGCTATGGCACGTGTGTGAGGGTGTGGCACACACACACACACACACACACACACAGGCTATCAGTGAACTCCAGCTGGTGCTGCCAGTGACAGGAAGCTATGTGTGTGTGTGTGTAGCAGGATGTGGCATGTCGCTCACATCAACAGTTGCACAGTTCCCTTTGGTTGGCGCTAA